AGCAAAAACTATAGAACATCGGCCTTACTAGATGTGATTTCTTTTGGGGGTGCCAAGTACAATGGCAGCTGCCGACTGCTCCATACATCAAATTTTCCACCCGACCACCTCTCTCCACTTAAAGAGCTAATTTATTCCGCCATTTTCATGATTAGGCATGCAGGACAATGAGGATTGGCTCAATGTTCCTCCCCAATATGACGAGCAGTCACTGCTTGCTGCTATCGCTAGCCAGTAGTAAAAGGGTAACCATTGTCATCGTTACCTGTATCTGCGACCCATTGTCAGATCAAACGATGCACGCAACTGCCACGGCGCCTCGGGGAGGAGCTGTGAGCCAGTGCTGACTGTCTCGCACGCGTAATCGTGTGAACCACAATTAAACTTAACACCAGGGTCCCTTGGAGCACAGATATGCTAGAAATTTTTTTTCATGTGGAACAGTGTACAAATGCGACTGCCTCCAACTTCGCACTACAAACATGCCCGCTTGCTGCAGCCACTAAAAAAGTTAGTTAATATATCTGTTAATTATGCAGCTAATCGTAGTAATTATTATCTCACTTTGTGTCCCCCTGGATATATCTTCAAAGGTGGTTTTCATGTTCTTCATAGTGCTGAATTTTAAGAAAACAATAAAGGTTAATTTCGAACACCCTGTATAACCCATTTTTAACAATAAATAACTTATATAAGTCCTACCAGCTGCCCCGCCACGGTGGTCTAGTGGCTAAGGTACTCGGCTGCTGACCCGCAGGACGCGGGTTCAAATTCCGGCTGCGGCGGCTGCATTTCCGAAGGAGGCGGAAATGTTGTAGGCCCGTGTGCTCAGATTTGGGTGCACGTTAAAGAACCCCAGGTGGTCGAAATTTCCGGAGCCCTCCACTACGGCGTCTCTCATAATCATATGGTGGTTTTGGGACGTTAAACCCCACATATCCTACCAGCTTTCATCAAAATCCATGATATCATAGTGAGCTGGAGTAGGAACTTCAAGGTAGTGGCAACATTTGTCTTTCCTATACACCCCTCTTCTGGCTTATTAATCATCTAATCACACTAACAATGGTTTTTATCATATTGGAGAATGGTAATGTACCAATATAGCTGCACTCATTGGTGTCTTTAACTTTTTCTTCCACCACATCGATCGAGCACTGATACCGTGCTATTGATGGTTTGTGATGCCATTTTCTAATCATTTCATGCCGTTAATAGACACACTGCTCCATTTGTCATGAAAGAAAATAAATATAGCTTTCTTCTTTGCGTAGGCTGTTTCTTTCTCGCGTGGTTTTAACTTTCGATGCGCTCCAAAGTAAGTGAAAACCGAACGAAGCCACCACCGGGTGCAGCCGATGCACGCACTTCAGAAAGATCGCAGATGTTGGCATTGCGGTGTGTTTGCAGCTAATTTTGTTGATTTCACGAGCTAGAAGGAGTCTGAGGGTGCTACTTTTTGTTCGGACTTCGACTCTGAGAGCAGGGACGATGCAAACCAGCCCGCAACATCGTTCAGCTTCACTTTTTGCTTTGAGCCATCTCAGTTTACCTTTCAGCACCAGCCTGGCAGAATGGAAACTCAGGCTATTTTTTATTTCTCCCATACTAATTAATTATTCATTTTTAATTACCTATTTTTAATTATGGGCTAGAAACTCACAATATGAACACTGATATGTAGAGCACTTTCAGAAACCCCTGACGAAATTGTTTCCTTTACGATACGTCTAGGGCTGTTATCTTTTCCGCGTTGTAAAGAAAGCCTATAGCAGCACAATAGCAGTGCACTCGCGGGTCGTCCCACGGCTTCTTTTCACGTTTCGCGGGCTTTCTTTACAACGTGGAAAAAATAACAGCGTGAGACGTACCGCACAGGAAACAATTTAGTCGGCTGTTTCTGAAAGTGCTCTACATCTCAGTGTTCATATTTTAGGTTTCCAGCCCATAATTTTAAAAAATACGTAATTAATAATTATGAATTAATTATTATGGGCAGAAATAAAAATGGCCTGAGTACCTACAGGCTAGTGCAAGTAGTATGTGTTTTGTTCAATTCGCCTACTAAGTGCCTTTCACTTTCAAATTCCTGGCTCATGTTTTGTGGGACACCCTGTATACACACACCCACTCAGAGTATTTTACTATGTGTGTATGAGTAAAAGTGCGTTAATTCGACACCTGCTAATTCTGAAAATCGGATAACTTGGGCATATTCTGTGGTCCCTGCAAGCATATGTATTGTTTAATGGCATCAAACTTTCGGTAACTTGGTCATAGTTGGTCACAACCTAATGTCTTGGTGGTGTACTAGTTCATGTCCCTTAATACCTATCTGCTCGAGCTCACAGAAAAACCCAGGCTGAGCTAATATTTTTTTACCATTTTAGGGGCGAAGCTCCTTAGGGCGTAGGTCTGCCCATCCTCCGTCGTTGTCTTACGTAGCAAGCGGGATGCGAGATGGGACATCGCGGTATTTGGAGTGTTCACTAGATGGATGCACGGACGGACGCATGGATAGATGGGCAGACAGACTAGCAGACGGAGGGACGGACGAACGGACGCGCGGAGTGGGTATGTATCACAGGGGATGCAAAATGGCGGTACTTGGAGTGTTCACTAGATGGACGCACAGATGGACGGACAGACAGACTAGAAGACGGACGGACAGACAGACGGACGCATGGATGGACGCACGGATGGTCGTGCGGACGGACGGAAGCAAGAACAAATGGACGGACGGAAGCACTAACGGGCTGACGGACGCTTCGTCCCACTCATCATCATTCACTCCGTGGATATGCTGTGATTTTTTCTTGCTCATTGGAACAGACTCCTGTTGACTTTATTATAATGACCTGGCCCTCGACTGTCCATTTGAATACAATATCTCGCCTGTCATCAGTTTGGAGATCAGGCACTTAGTGGATCTGGACACTATCTCCTAATAATGATCAGCCGCAATCACGAGGTCAGTGTTTCTGCGTTTACCACCCTGCACAGTGTCTACGACTTGCAAGTCAAAGTTCCAAAGTTAAAGCAGAATTAAATGACTTCAGAAGAGTATCCATGGTATCTACAAAAAACTGACTTCGAAGAAGTAGCCATGGTATCTGTACAAATGCAGTGAGCTTACAGAGCTTCCACTCATAACCCTTTTCCGTCATACTAGCTTCAGACCCGCAGCTTAACACGAGGCATCTCAGAGCGTGCTGTAGCTAACATGTAGCTGAAGGCAAAAATTTGAAATTTTTCTTCTTCAAGCACGTTTAACTACAGTATTTTGGATAGACTGCGGTGAATAAATGTAATAACAATAATAATAATATCTCAGGTTTAACGTCCCAAAACCACAATATGATTATGAGAGACGCTGTAGCGGAGGGCTCCAGCAAGTTTCACCATCTGGTGTTCTTTAATGTGCACTGACATTGTACAGTACACGAACCTACCCTACTGAAACGTTCCGTATGCGATGTCCAATAATTCCGTATGCTTCCGTAAGAATCTTACGCAAATATATGAAATATATATGGGAAACATATGTATTCTGTATAAAGACATATGGAATTATTGGACTCGCATACGGAATGTTTCAGACAAAATGACCATTTTGTCTCCATCGAAATGTGACCGCTGTGGTCAGGATCAAACCCACGACCTTTGGGTCAGCAGCCAAGCACCACAATCACTAGACCACTGCAGCGGGTGGTGAATAAATGTTCTCTAACTACCACCATTGAAGAGATGCCTGACAATTGTGCTTTTGTGTGGACCTTCTGCCTGAGCTCGTGCCGTCTGTAGGAGCAAGTGCTACCTTACAGTGCACATCGAGTTTTCTTCTGAGCCAAAGGAAAACCCTACACTGTAGCTTGCTCAGACACAGGTGAAGATGGTGCGTTTCGTTGATAAATGCAACACTGTCATCTGAAATGAGCGTCACACACAGTCACCAGGTGGCTCCCAATACAATGGGCACACTTGAGCCATTTGACTTTACGGCATTTTCTTGACGCACATGCCCCCTTTTTGTGCACCAGAATCATTGATTTTCGCGCTCATTCATTTCACTATCAGCATTTCCTATCATCATTTCACTATCAGCATTTCCATCTTATTTGCTACTAACATTTTTTTATCAGAGTTACAGAGCAAGCATTTGGTGCCTTCCTTACAGCAGCAAATGACATTATATTAGCAATGCTTCAGCAATTTTCTACAGGCAAGTTGAAATTTCAGTCCCGTGGTGCTCTGGCCCATTGTATGAATTCTCATGCTTCAACCTCGATTCTCAAAAAGCACGAAAATGCTTCCAACTCATTTCCCCCAGTCACAGAATCCTTTTTTCTGCAGCATTCGAGACAAAAGTCAGCAAGATAGACAAGAATGGTATTACTACACTATATTAACACTGAAAAATTTTGATCATTATAATTATATGATGACACACTCTGAATCCAAAAGACTATTTCAATGTGACTTCTTATCTATATCCCCTTCAGGCACGCATTATGATGCACTACCCATGAATGTGTAGAATTCCCAAGCTATAATTCTAAGGCACTCAATATTAGATTCCAAGAAAAAAAATGATGTGTTGTATTGAGTGAGCCTTAGTAATTATTTGCAGTAATTAACATGTAACTGAATATTTCATTATTCTTCAGTAAGACATGTTCCATTTTAATATTAAAAAACAAAAGTATAGGCTCCCAATGTGTGCACACTTAGTTTTTGGTTGCATTCATTTCGAGATAATACTTTTGACCTCGTTCCTGGAGTGTGACATGAATGACCTGTCGAACATCATAGTGCCCTCATCGAACTGATGGGTAACTGAGGTTAAGTGACAACATACTGACTATGCAGAAGGTTCAAATCATCCAATAGGCATTGTATCTTGTTATATATTGGCCACAGGTTGACACAAGTAGCATAAACAAAACACGTACACATACGTAGCCACCACTGCTGAAGAGATTATAACAATGATGCAAAGGTTTCCATTCCAAGCAGTTTATTGACACTCAAATAATTTAATTAAAGGCACATAACTAATCAGCTTCCACTGGGGCTGCACAAATCCAGTATTTGAATACGCTTTTCCATACGAGGTTGGGAGCGTAAAAATTTCTGTGTTGCAGCATTGAGGTTTTCAATAGCCAACTGCGCTTGTAATTTTGTCACACTGTCGGACGTAGTTGAGTACAAATGCTTCAGATCTCGATAGATGTCTTTCACTTCATCGGGCATTACCTGTAAGATGCAATTGAGATGTCACACAAATGAGAGCTCTGTGTAACATTTCCTGACGTTTTACAATCTGATGGAAGGCTCATGAAACTATAAAAAATAGTACCTAAAATATGTCTAAGTCTTTCTGAAGGCAGTGAGGCAGGCCGATGTGAACAGGCTTAGGCAAAGTGCCACACATGTACTTTCAGCACTTCCAGGGCAATACATATGTGTATTGGATTTTGCAGAGTGAACGAACCTAATATATAGTTTGCAGCTTGTCAAACCGAGAATAAGTCAGAAGTAGCCTGTAACTCAGAGTAGCTTGTAGTGCCTGAAGATACTGCAGAATTTGTCATCGCAAGTTGCACAGTAAAAGCTTGTTAATTCAAACTGACTTCTGGTCCAGGCACAGTGCAATGTTTTCTTACGGGGGGGGGGGGGACGACCCTCTCAATAATTAGAAGGCGTCGGTAACTACAATAGGTTCATTCGAACTGGGAGCGCTCGGGCTTTCATCCCTCCTCGCAGAAATCAGCCCAGGATGATCACAAATCAAGCCAGAACAATCACTCAAATTATTCATTACTTTAATCTGTGTAAAACAAGTGTAGCGATTGACTTCCATGCATGCTTTTATGGTTGTAAATGTGTGCTGCTTCTGCTGAATGAGTGGCGTAGGCCAGTCATGCATTATTCGCTTTTAGTCATGTCTCCTTGGACTACTTCAATATCGTTCTATAAACAAGTAAAGACAGAAAGACTTTAAATTTTATTAGCTACTTCAATGCTGCTTGTAAATGAACGTGTTTTGGAGCACAAATAACTTATATTTGACATTAAGGCTTGCTGTTCACAGTGAATGCAAGTTGCTGCTTGTTTCTGGCATATGATTGAGTGATCAATAAATTCTGTTTGCTGTTAGAGCATGCACTTAATTTATGAAATTATCTGCCACAAATGTGTAGTATCGCCTAATTTGTGGGAATCAGACCAGAGGTGGCTTCTCTGCCTTCTGTCCGCACAGTGCGGCATGAAGTCTGTTCATTCTAGCGCCCATTCGCTAATTTGAAGAATTTTATAGTCCTCTTCGAGTTTAAATTAGTGAGCTTTCACTATACATTAAAAATGCATAGCACAAATGTCCTTTACAAATGCAACACTGCATGCGCTTGTAGCTCCTTATTTTTTCTGCACATAAACTACGAACATCTATAAAACTGGCATAGGAACTGTTTAAATCTGAAGGCTCCATCAGGGTCTCTATCAAGGGTGATTACCAAAAAAGAGGGTTGCTAGCACAGGAAACATTTTATCCATAAATATAAACTGCACAATATGTCAGTGGTCTGCTAGTGAACAATATCAGCATCAATTTCATTGAAGAACGTCCAATGACATAGATGCAAGCGTGCACAGTTGTCGAAGAGCATTTTGAAGTCTTTTACATATTTGAGAACATGACACATTCAAAGATTAGACAAATGTCGTCTATGTACTATCAACAGCAAAAGTGTGCGGGACGCAAAATGCTTGATCGAGCTGAATTCCCGCTTTGTCTAGAAATGTAATTTCGAAATAAATGTTCTATACTGCACTTGGGATTCCGACCTATACAGTCACCAGCTTGATTACAAGCATTAAGTACTGATATAGCAGAAATTCGCATTTACTCTGGATTCAACGTCCCGCGAACTTTTGCTGTTGTACAAAAATCTGCCATGTATGACGAGTGAGACTATGTGACTTGTCTTCTATTTTTCAGGCCATCTTCACAGGATATGTGGGGAAGATGTAACAGTTCTCTATACACCCACTCATCCAAGTTCCACAAGGCACAATATGGCAAATGCCGAAAAGGGCAAGAATCCCCTCACACTCATCCTTGGTAAATGAAAATTCCACGCAGCAATTAGAAGAGATGGATGTGTCATTGGCGCAAAACTCTTCTGCAGCACTCATGCCTTGTTGCTTCCAGAAGAGATTCAGGACGGTGAATGGCAAGCAGTGTTTATGAAATGTTTGCAGACCGTGCACAGTGCTCCATATGTCAGGCAGCGGCTTTGGTAACGAGTGAAGTGAAACATTGTCGTCTGCTGAGGCACCAGCCCATTCACACAATGCCGCATTTTCCTTTACAAAATGAAACCTTTCCTTTGCAAATGAATTTCCTTTGCAAATGAAAGATTGCAGTAAAAAAGGTATATCATATTCAAAGTCTGTCTTAAAAGTTCCCAGAAATTTTTTGTTATAATTTATTTACAATCAGTTTAAAATCTTTTGAGAACTTCCTTAAGTACTCTTCCCCTGCTTTGATGCACCATTTGCCGATGCTTTATCCAATCACTGAAGGCACCCTCGAATCCGTCAAAGGGAACCTCTTTCAGCGAGGTTGTCGCAGATGCCTTTACTATCCCCAGCATCCCATGCCAAGTTCCCTTCAGAGCACTTTTGATCACTGGCAAAAAAAGAAAATCGAGTAGTGTCAGATTGAGGCTGTTCATTGGCTGGTGCAGTGTTGCCACGCCCATCTTGGCCGGCAGCAATTAGAAGACAATAAGCACAGTGTGGCTTTTCCTTCATGCCGCTCATCAGGACTTCTAGAATCATTTTAGTGCAGACTTTCCTCCTTTAAAGATCCTCCGTCAAAACATGATGAATAGGTGCTTCAATCATTTAACACTCCTCTGCAATCGTCCAAACACTTAACCACCGGTTCTTGTCCAAAACATGATCCACTTTTTGCACAGAGCCGTCCATTTATGATTTCTATGGGTGCCCCGAGTGAACGTCATCGTTGACCAACTCCAGACATTCCCAGAAACTCTTGTTCCGTATGAAAGTCTGGCTTTGTTTAATAGCATTGTAACCATAGGCTTTCTGAAGCATTTCAAGTGTCTGTCCCATTTTAACTCAGTTGCACCAAAGAATACTTGATTGCATAATGCTGCTCCAAAAACTGGTAATTTTTTAAAAATAAGGTTGCAGTAGATACCTCTGTGAAAAGTGTTACCTGCATGAACAGCCCACATGCAGCCGAAACCAGACTCGCTTTGAAGCTTGTATTATCCACTAACTTCTCCAGCCAAAGCACCATTCAGCCAGGCGGTGTTGCCAACTACTGGAGAAAATTCTGAGAACTTTTACAGACCCTGTATGCAACTTTATGCAGGAACCAAATGACTAGTTCTTTTTCCTTTCAGATCTCTGTGGATTTCAGCAGCCCCAGCTGAAGCAGAACACAAACACTGCTGTGAGTAATAATGCAGGATATCACTTAATACGAATACTCACTTGAAATATCTTTTGACCCATTCCTTCAATAATACGCCCTAGAGCCAAGACAGAAGCATGGCAAACCATAGCATCAGGATCCCTGGTGAGGCCACGAAGACAATTAAGGATCTGGCAGAAGAGGAAAGAGGGAAGTTTAAGTACTTGAAACTAATCATTTTTTTAAGGAATGTAAAAGAAAGTGCTATGCACGAACAGCCTTTACCTCCTGTGTGATTGGCACAAATGAGTAACCAAGTTTTCCACACAATTCGCCCAAATTAGATACTGCTGAACATCTGATGACTTGGTCAGAGTGCTTTGCAGCACTCAAAAAGCTATTAAGCAGCAAGTTCCTGTACTTTGGAGCGATGTCACCTAGAAATAAAATGCAAACACATTCTGATGTGAAAAAAGCACAACAGAAATAAAGCATGTCTGTAAGTTCTTCAATACAGTAGACTCTGAGTAATTTGAATCTCTTAAATGGGACTGGTACTTAAAATGGAAGAACTGCCTCTGATACGACTGCTTTTATAATAATAATAATAATTGTCTTTATTTTTGTACGCTTTTGTACTAAAATTCCAGCCTCTTGTTCACCTCCCACTAAAGAGAACTCCTGCTGAATGGAAAGTATTTTCATGGTTCCTTCAGGTTCTGTTTAATGAGAACCTACCACATAGGCACTACAACAATGGGAGCAGAAAAGTTTGTCTTTAAAAATAGTGCATGAGCAAAAACTTATTCCATATCGCAAAAACAAGTTTCAGATAGGTTAAATAAATGCACAGCAACAGCACCATCCCCACATATATCGTAATGCTACACCTACAGAGCTACATTACCCAATTTTCTGATCATACAAAAATGTTAAAATGTAAAAGCCAGTACAACTTTACTGAACAAGAGTAGGCAGCAACAGAGAACAAGTTACTGTAGTTATAAAGAGAAACAAAAATGCAAGCCTCCTCTACAACTTCTATCTCTGCTCAAAAAAAAAAAAAAAACAGTTCTTTGAAGTACTTATGTTGACCATGAGTGGGCTTCTAGTAGTCTCTGCAATTTCAAAACGTTAAAAAAATTCCAAAGTTATTCTGAAACGGCTTCTATTCCACCTGGTCAAACAAGGAGTTCTGTTTAAACCATCAAATTTCAAGAGAACTTAAACAAACATGAACAAACAGCAAAAAATAATGACTACACATGGTGAAACACAGTGCGTATGACGGATCCTGTCACAGTCACTAGCCTCAGCAATGACTCCATTGCCTATGCAATTTAACCTTCCTGGGAGCGCATTTCTGTCTCCCCAGACATTACTCTTGTTATACCATGATGCCAGAAAGGTTGCCATGTGTCTTAGGCCATCAATAGATGACATTCAGCTCGCATGCATGACCTGTAAGCTGAGCTCTCTTATGGGCCATCCTTATTCGCTCGATGTCAATTTTCTATTTTCCCTGGCTCACCTCATATTTGACAGTACTATTCATGACAGTTTTATTGCTCCTTCTAGAAATCCAAATTTTGTTCACTCACTTCTCTAACTTTCTAAACATCTAACATGTAAGAATTTTACATTTACAATATGTCATGGGATTATTGTAATATAAATGTGTGTCAACAAAAATATAACAAGATTGCTGTTTATGAAAACTTCAGAAAATATTCATGAATCTGCTGGAGTTGCATTCAAAAGTATGAAAGTATGTTTCCTCCATTTGCTTCACTTGTTTCACAATTGTCTATATTACACGTACAGCCTGTTTACATCTCGAAATACTTATAGTCCCTATTCAACATGATTATAAATGTATTGCACGTGAATACCACTACTGTATATCATGAAAGAAAGAAAGTTCATTGACCAAATAAAAGGTTTTGAAAAATGTTTCGGCTTTCATTTGTTGACAATGAGTCCAATCTCATTGTGAACAAGTGTCTCATATATAGATTTCAGCATGTGGGGCAAGTGTTGTGCGTAAGACCATAGAAGGTTTCTATCACTGAAATTAAGTGTGTGCCTGGTAGATAGTATCCCCGAGACTCGAGATCCAATCATCCTTTCTTTCATCATGTCTGATCCCAACCAGGTGAGTTTCAGTCAAACTTTAGATGTCGCTAATCCATTCCTTATGTTGTGCCTTTTTATTAGGAGCCTTTAAGGTAATAAAATGAATTAAATGTGCAAACATGTGTTTTTTTGCGTTACGAAATGGCCAACCTTGCAAATAAATCATTCAGGAACAGCAGACGTCTTTAACTATTTAACTATGAGATGAGAAAAGATAGACTGCCACGTACAAATTGAAAGCATGCAGTGTGAGCACTCACCAATGTTTTTAGTGACCCGCAAAAGGACCTCTCCCAAGTTGAGGCGCGCCTCCACGGAGAGCTGCTCTAAGGACAGCTGTTCTGCCAGCCATGGAAGTAGATGATCCAGGTCTCTTTCAACAAGAACAGACAGAGCTTGAATGGCACTGAGATACACATAAGAATCTTCATCTTGAATGCCAGCATGGCAAGCTTCAAGCAACTTGTCTCGCTGCTGCCATAGTTCTGCACTATTCTCCAGAAGCCTTCGGCGCAATTGTATGAATGCATGGCCACGAATGGGTGTCATTCCATCGTGCAGCTCACACCATAACTGCTCAAATTCTGTGCTTCCAGTAGCTAATGGGACACCCGATGATTGTGCCGCCATCCCAGCAGTTTCCTCTCCAAGCCGCTGTCGAGAGGCTACAGCAGCCTCTGCTTCACAGCCAAGGCTATCATCAATAGACAGAATGTTAAAACCAGCTGCAATAGCAGCCAACTTCTTCTGACGTTCAGCTCTGGCTTGCTTGTCGTCTGCCACCTGTGGTGCAGAGCAGCCGGCATTACTTGTGGCACTCAACTTCTGTGGTGGTGCTGCCACCCCTTGACTTGCTACCGACACCTGCAATTGGTGTGCTAAGTTCCTTATTTCAGTGCTGCTGTGGCTGCCTGCCAAGGATGCCAGGCACTTGTAGCACTGTTGCCACACTTCTTTATTTTCTCCTGCAGCCTTGAGAGGAAAAAAAAATGTAACAGTCAATACAATAGTTGAGTGTAATCCTTCTTTTAGATATGCTCCTAATATGCATACATGTAGTAAAGCTTCATCCTATTTTCTAAATTTACTCACAGGAGTAAAATACTTTAGTAATAACTTGCACTTCAGCTTCAGCTATACCCGTGATGCTATATGCTATGTACATATATGGTTATATCAGCTTGCAGCCATAGAAACTTGCTGCAACACAAAATTGCAGCCAGGAGAGTGTTCTGCGAACGTCCACATGGTGCTCGATATTGATAAAAACTTCTACATAAAAATAAAGAGCAAAAATAAATAAATGAATATCCTAATAATTTTTTTCATACAGTTTTTTTTCTGTATGGTATTTTGCATCAGAACAATTGGAAAATGAGTAAAGGTTTTGTACTGCAAAGTGTTAAATATGTACAGGTGTACAGTCAAACTTTTCAACCTTGTTGAATTTGAGTCAACAGAATAAAAGAGGTTAGTTGTGTACAAATAAATATAAGTTTTCTATGTTTGCAATTTTCCCTTCATACCTGTCTACTTTTCCTCATCTTGTTAAATTACATACACCATTCCACGACAGTATCCCTCACAGTGAGCACCTTGGGTATGCCAATCCTTAACAAATATTTTCCTTGAGCTGAAAGCACATGTGGCTATTCAGTACCTGCCAATCACATATATACAGAGGAAACAGGAACGTACCATGTCTTCTGTAGGGATCAGGAGGCTCAGAAGTGTAAGGCAAAATATGGTTGATTGCAAGACCAAACTGTCCATTTCAGTACTCTTTGATAGCTGGGTAACTCGATTTAATGTTTCCTAATAGAGCACAGCAAGAATAGAAACCTTTATTATTTTTTTGTCACTGCACATATTAGGCAACATACTTACCACAACAAATTCTAGGAGGGAAGGGTTATTTTCTAAAAGAGCTTCAGACAGTAAATCAGCAAAGTTTTCCACAAGGTGCAGGAGCAGTAGGTTATTCTTAACTTCCTGTGAGTTGAGCTCATTATGTGATGCTGCAGGTGACAAAACTGAGTCATTTGTGCCTCCTGGCAGGTCTCCAATGGCCCTAGTCAGTTTCTGCAACAAATTGCGCAAGATGATCACAGTTTGAAATTATTTTAACAAACAGGCTACAGTTAAAGCTGAAGATGTCACTAAGTATATATGGCTCTACAAATGCTACCATCACCATGATGTTTCAGTGTAGGCTATCCACAAAGAAAGATAAACACATTACTAGCACAAAGCTGCAGTTCACCAACTCGGATTTAGCTACCAGTGCGAACACAGGTAGCTAAATCCAAGTTCACTAAGGCAATAAGACAGGTTACATTATTCACTATAGAAGACATGGCCGGCTCATTTACAATTTTCTTGCAGAAAATATAAAAGATGACCTTTGCCCCTTCCAAGATGTTTGTTCTAGCAATGCAGTCTTTTAGACGTGGACCACTTACCTTGGAGAAAGAAAGAAAATTTCAATAACACACCGAGTCATTTGCCTCAAGAACTAATTTATACAAAAATAAGTATGGGTATGCACAGAGTAGATTTTAAGACCAAATTTAATGTCAAATAGTCTTTAAACAATTTATGAAGAGTTTATACATTGCATGAATCACAATTTATTGAAAGCGCAGACAAAGAATTGGGAGCAACAACTTGATTGATTGATATGTGGGGTTTAACGTCCCAAAACCACCATATGATTATGAGAGACGCCGTAGTGGAGGGCTCCGGAAATTTCGACCATCTGGGGTTCTTTAACGTGCACCCAAATGTGACCACACGGGCCTACAACATTTCCGCCTCCATCGGAAATGCAGCCGCCGCAGCCGGGATACGAACCCGCGACCTGCGGGTCAGCAGCCGAGTACCTTAGCCACTAGACCACCGCGGCGGGGCAGCAACAACTTGAAAATTCAGGTCCTAGAGTACCTGGTAAAAAATGAAAGGGAGCCATACTGGCCACGTGTGTAACTTAAAAAAAAAATGAGATGCGTGACATCTGTAGCAATCGCTGGCTAAAAAAATGAATACAGTGGAATCTTGTTGATACGCTTTTCACGAGAACCAGAAAATAGATGTATGATGCTAGAATCGTATTAACCAAAAAGGTTGGCCAGGAACAATTTTTTTTTTTTTTTTGTTAGAGATACTGCGATCTGGTACCAAATCTTAGCAGGGTGGTTATACACCAAAAAGTACAAGCAATTTAGAACATACAAATTACAGGCATTTGTAAGAAAACACTGAACGGAACAAATAAAATAACACAACAAATTCATAACATATTCAGATGTTTTTCAGGCATTACTAAAGATTTTTTTAAAACAATTTCCGTGTTAAGATTATACCAGTCCGTTATAGTCCTATGGAAAAAGGAATACTTAAAACAGTTATTCCTTATGGTAAAGGGAACTAAGGTTAGAGCATGTATTTGTCTTGTTTGATTACCTGCCAAGTAAAAAAATAATTTGAAGTGTTGACGTTGTATTGACCATCGACAAGGTGAAATAAAAATTTTAATCAGCTGACACGGTTGCGCTCCGTCACCATGGGTTGTCCACTGCACTTAATTAGCTCACTCACATATAGATGTGTGGCCGTAGGAATTGAAAATAAACCGGACTAGCTGTAGGCGTTAAAGTATTTTTACTTGCTTTAAAGTGAATGGGTCCCAGATAATCGCTGCGCATTACAACAATGGTCGAATGTATAAAATTGTATGTATAGAAATGAACAGTAGGTGTAGATGACTTCAATGTGCGTCTCAAGAAAAAGTTTCTGCAAGGAACTACAAACAACAGTACCTATGTGCTTATTCCAAGAAAAATTATTACTGATTTTCAGGACTTAATATTTGTACTCAGTCACTTCTAATAGTGATACACCATTCACACACATGCATAATGAAGAGGTTTTTTTTTTGTTAGTAATTCTCATGTAAACAGTTTTATGAAAATTAATTACCATTTGCCATTTTTCGTACCATGCAATGACATCTGTCAGATCATTATTTAGATGCACTTGATACTTTTATATATAATATATAGTCATTGCATAATAAAGTTTCACAGAAACAGAAAGTTTTGCTGTAATGTAATTAATAAATGATAAAAATAAAAGTGGTGTTAAAACTGATCCCTGGGGGACACCCGAAACAACCTCGAAATTTTCAGAAGCATTGTTTAAGGTTATGAATTGGCGTCTGTCAGATAAGTAAGCCGTAATCCAAGTAAGTATCTGGTCATTTTTTTTATACAATAACAATTTATGAATTAATTTATTATGGGACACCTTGTCGAATTCCTAGTAGAAATTCATGAATATCTTTGCTTTGCTTGATTAATCGACAGTGGGAAGTTATGCACAGTTTCAACTAATTGAGTACATGTAGAAAATCCATGCCTAAAATCATGTTCAGAAAGTTAATACATGTTTACGAATTATGTGTTCCAAAATTTGACACAAAGTAGAAGTTAGTGATATGGATTGGTAGTTCTCAATGTATGATTTTTTGCCTGACTTGTGCAGAGGTTCGATTTCCAGTAAAGTAATCCGGTAAAGAACCATCACTTAACGATCTGGTGAACACAACATGCAAGTATTTAGCACACCATTCCGCATATCAATTCAAAAACGCGTTTGGAATGCCATCATGTCCCGGTGGCTTTTTCATATCAAATATTAAGAGTAAATTACATACACCACTCTCGGAAATAACCACATCAGATATTCAAGGAAGCGATACAGAAAAATTGTGAATGAAACCATTGTCCCTTGTGAAGTACCGACTAGAAAAAATCGTTAAAAGCAGAACTGCTGACGCTCTCTTTTTTTTTTTTTTGCACACTCGCCACCTATCATCAGCTTACTAGTGGCAGAAGATTTAGGGGTTATTTGGCACTAGAATCTTTAAGAAGCCGTTTGAATTAATGGAGGCAATAGTGTACCAAAATATTTTTCCTTGTCAAAAATTATTTTCATCTTTACTTTTACGGAAGTTTCTTCAATGGAGGTTTTAACGCTATACTTGTTCTTGATTTTTTTTTTTTCCTTTTGAGCCTTCCTTGCAGTTGCAACACCTCGCTGGAAGTCCATGAATTACGTTATACTGATTTTTTTCACAATATTGGGCACAAAGCGCTGTGTTCATTCAAAGACAATATTTTTAAAGGAAAGTCATAAGTTATTCACAGAACAAGTACTGCTTTTGAAATAACCTAAGTATAAATCGAGCATATCTATAATAATTCATCATCAGCACGAGGAAAATTCGGAAATGAATGTATGGTCTTCTGGCGGTAAAAGCAAATGTTCAAAAAACACAACAGGACCGCTTTATGATCAGAAATGCCATTAGTGGCTTCACAGGTTATGTGACTTTGAATGTCACCACTTACAAAAAATACGTCCGAAATTGACCCTGCAATTCCCTCCACTCTCGTGGGGGAATTATCAACCATTTGCAACAAGTAAAATGTTAACCTGACGTCCAACATTGTGTTGCCATCAGCATTCGACGAATGCGATGAGCAGCTCTGCCAATCAACGTTAGTAAATTGAAGTGCCCTGCCGATATTAAGTGATCGTCTGTCCTTACATGACACTGTAAGTATTCCCAGAAGTTTTCAAGGACCGCTACAGAGGAGCTAGGAGGCCTACAAAAAACGCCACAAACAAAGCGAACTTTGTTTATGTATGCTTTACAGAAGACAGAATCAATGCATTGTGCATCAGATATTCTAAAAGTTGTATTGACGATTTAAACAAAATAGCCACACCTCCACCTATTCTGTCATGGTCGCCATGAAAGAACTTATAGCCCTGAAGGACGCTATCAAATATTTTGCAGCTCAGCCAGGTCACTGTGAGCATGGCAATGTCCGCGTCATGCGAAAACAGCATGCCCTCAAGTTCTACAGCTTTATTACCAATGCTACAACAATTTATGTTCAGGATCTTGAATACGTGATTGCTGTTATTCTGGTGTCATTTTTGGTTATTTGGAAACTTATACCTAAAGTTAAAACATATTAGGCCTAAGACCGTATTATGCAGAATCGTATCAATGAGATGCCACGGTAATACTAATCAAGCATAATTTTTAATTCAAATAGAACTAGCAGATGATGCCACACTGCACAGAGTATGTTACAATAAAGTATTTTTTATATTTATTTTGATAAAGAAAGCAAAGCCTACAAATAAAAAATATTACTTAAAACAATAATACCCATTGGCAGAATGAAAATTAACCAACATTTCAGATCGAATAGTGTAGCTCCCTGAGTGACACAGTATGCTCGCTCCCCAGTTATGTACACTGTGGGATGAACTTTATTGCACTCCTGTTTTGATTTCATTTTATATGATGTATGAGAGATGAAAAAGTATTTTAAAGGCCATTGCAAGATTATTCAGGCTCTAAATTACTAATTGGTCTGTGGATCAAAATCTAATAGTAGAAATATTCTTGTCATAATTGGGGATTTCCTAATATTACCAAACCGTGAGAAATAGGCAAATAACACCTCAACTTAAGTCTAACATCAAGTACAATTTCACCTACATTTTACGTACTAAGACATTCAGAATTGGAAGCTACAAAAACAATATTTTCAGCTTTCTTCGAGCCCCTCGCACTTACGTTGAACTTCAATGCACACTTATTTTAGAGCTTTGAAAAATTGTACTCTAATATAATAGTATCTGGGGTATTACATCCCAAAACCACGATATGATTATGAGAGAAGCCGTAGTGAAGGGCTTCAGCAATTTCGACCATCTCGTGTTCTTTAACGTGAGCTGACATTGTGCAGCACATGGGCCTCTACTATTTAACATTGTATTCTCTAAAGCAGGGGTCTTTAAACTACATCCTGCGGGGCACATTATAGCCAGCCTGTGGTGAACCTTTTGATGATATACCACCATTATAGCTCCAGAAAGCCTCCACTGCACTCTGCCCTGTGCGTAGCACTTTTTATTCATGAAACGTGAAGAAAGCCAAGAAAAATGAGCTAAAATACCATGCCTTATGATGGCCTTCTTAAAATTGTTACACTATTCTACAAAGAACGACACAAACAGTTCATATTATAGCTCCATTAAAAATAATGCAGTTCGAGAGATGAGAAAAAATTATAAATTTTCTTCTATCTAAGCAGTGATGGGTGCTCACACAATCAACAGAGCCACTTACCTTCAGCAGAGATATGAAAAACCTAGTGCATGACTCTTTCAAGCTGCCATGCTGGAAAACAGAGGAAGCAGCTAGGAAAGCTTGATCTATCCATTTTAGCCATTCATCATTGCTGAAACATGACACCAAATTATCTTATCACAGCACATCATTATAAAACTTGCATATCAATGCAATGTGGCACGCCACAAGTACAACAACTACAAGGCCGTACATACTTCATTTCATGGGCCCAGCAGCACTTTCCTAGAATGTCATGAAATGAAGTCACCAAAGGAGAGTATTGCCTCTCGAATTCACCGCCGCGAAAATTTCCACAATCCCTCCCCTACGAGTGGAGTTACGAAGAATTTGTCGCAAGCTGCAATCGCATTCTCTCCTCTTGGCGAAAGCGCTGCAAGCTAAGCAGGGAGGAATGGCACGGGGAAGGCAAATGCGTCACACATGCTCGTGACCTCGAGCACTTCTTTCCTCTCTCTCTCTTTTCTTCCTTTGAGCGTGGCGTGGCTTTTCAGTGCGATCGCACACACACGCGTGGACAAGTTACGGCCTTCCGCAGTGGCCCCAGTAACGACTGATCGCACGAAGCTTAAGTCAGTCAAAAGCTGATACCAGGCCTGAGACGCAGTGATTTTGAGCCCATAGCGTCATTTGTGGAGAGGAGAAAAAGCAATTTTTAGCTGACTTTGAAAATTTATTTTGAATTACAGGCTGCATGCTGCGTTATAATATTTGACACGTGTTCTCGAAAGCCTCGATTACCAATCGGCACCATTTGCTGACATGCTCGAAAAGTGTTGCAGGACACCCTTGAATTCTGCAAAAAAAAAATAATAAAATATATATACCGTATATTCTCGCATAATAGGCGCACTTTTTTTTCAGAAAATCCGGCTTGAAGTTAGGGGTGCGCCAATTACGCGGGGTAAAATTTTCGAAAATTTTTTCAACTCGGTTCTCGCGCTTTAAATCTGCACACTTGTCAAGTAAAAGGCGACTATCGTTTACCAATTAATTCAGCATAAAACAAACATACCTACGTACCTTTTAATGAACAAGCGAGAGCCATCAACTGCACACACACACACGTAAAATTTATTTACACAAAAGTCGTAGCTGTTCCTCCTTTTCCCTATTCGGAGTCCGAGTCGGAGATCACACATTCATCCTCGCCGAGCGGGGATTCGTTTTCGGTGTCCGAATCATCCGCACCCCACAACATATCATCCTCACTCGCATCCAGTGCGTTCGAGATACCCGTCTTCTTGAAGCTTTTCCTGACGACTTCGTCGGAGATCGCCTGCCACGCTTCCACGATCCAAGCGCACAGCATTTCCACAGGCGGCCTCTTAATCTTACCACCTGGAGTCAGCTGATGATGTCCTCCAGCCGTCCAGGTGGTGTACAGCCTTCGAACATTGTCCTTGAAAGGTTTATTCAAGGACACGTCCAAAGGCTGCAGTATCGATGTGAGGCCGCCCGGAATCACTGCCAGATCTGTGCGCAGCTCCTTTAGCTCATCTCGTACGCGGTCTACTAGGTGCCCACGAAAACTGTCCAGGACAAGCATGGACGGCAACAACAGACCACCCGGCCGCCGACCCCAGACTGTTTTCACCCAATCCACCATGAGTTCCGCGCTCATCCAGCCTTTTTCCTGGACTCTGACGTAGATGCCTTGAGGGAATTTTGCCTTTGGGAGCGTCTTACGTTTAAAAATAACGTAAGGCGGTAGCTTACGCCCATCCGCTGTCACCGCCAGCATTACGGTGCATCGTTGTTTATCAGCGCCAGACGTTCTGACGATGACGCTCCGTGCACCTTTCTCCTCCACTGTCGTGTTCCACGGCATATCAAAGCAAAGGGGGGTCTGATCAGCGTTGCCGATCTGGGACAAAATGAAGTCTTTCTGCTGTCGGAGCTTTATAACAAAACTGTGGAAGTCCACCACTTTGTCCTCATATGCTGCGGGCAAGCGCTGGCACAAGGTGGTCCGCCTTCGCAGTGCGAGGCCATGGCGCCGCATGAAGCGAGTTGTCCATCCGGAGCTGGCTTTGAACTCTTTTGCTTCGATGCCCTGCGCTCGGGCTATTCTGCGCCCCTCAGTCTGCACAATATCCAACGACACAGCACAGCCGTCTTGTCGTAGCTCCCGTATATGCCGGACCAGTTGCTCTTCGACGTTCGGATACCTGCCGGTCTTGGCACCGCGGAAAGCCCGTCGTGTCTTCTTCGTCGCCTTAAGTTTTTTTTCTTGGTCCCTCCAGTACCGAATACTGGTTTCTCCAACGCCGAAATGCCTGCTTGCAGCCCGGTTGCCGTGCTCCAGCGCGTACTGCACTGCCTTCAGTTTAAACCCAGCCGTGTAGCTCGCGTACTTCCCCATGGTGGAACCAAAGTTCAATACACGACCACAACATACGCACACCGCTTGCAAAATGGCGTTTCTTTCTTTTTCTCTGATGGTGGTGATGGCGATCGAGCCCCCGGCGTTGTACACGTGACCTCCAAAAAGCGCGGCGATTTGGGAGGTATCAGTAATTGATGGAACAGCCGCTTTTTTTTTCGCTCATGGACGCTTTTTTTTTTCAAGTTTTATTTCGACAAACACGTTCGTTAGGTCGTTGCACTTCGAGTTTTTTTTATTTGCTCGTCGATTTGCCGTCTTTTTTTCTTCAGGGTACGGGGACCGCGTTCCAACTGTACCGCTGGGGGGTAGAATCGTTTCTGATCACGGCCAAGTTCGGGGTGCGCCTATTATGCGCAAAATTAAAAAAAATCGAATTTTCCGCGACCAAACTAGGGGTGCGCCTATTATGCGAGTGCGCCGATTATGCGAGTAAATACGGTATATATATATATATATATATATGCATGCAGCGTTATAATATTTGACACGTGTTCTCGGAAGCCTCGATTACCAATCGGCACCATTTGCTGACATACTCGAAAAGTGCTGCAGGACACCCTTAAATTCTGCAAAAAATAATAAATATATATATATATATATATATGTCGCAATTTATGCGCTACGCGGAAACAAAGGCTTTGTCAAGTGGCACCGCCGTTGAAACCGCACGATTCTTCATAGAAAATATCGACCCGAAGCACGGTGCTCCGACAATCATAATAACGGATCAAGGTACCGCTTTCACGGCCACGCTCCTGAAGACAGTGCTTGAGCTCAGTGGAACAGCCCATCGGAAAACCACTTCCTATCATACACAAACAAATGGCTTAACAGAACGCCTCAGTAAGACTATGCCGGCATGTTGAGTATGTACATTGACGTGGATCACAAGAACTGGGACGACATTCTACCAACATCACGTTCGCCTATAACACAGCGCAGCAAGAAACTACACGAAGAACGCCGTTCAGTCTTCTTCATGGCCGTGAAGTAACGACGATGCTTGACGCCATGTTACTGCATGACTGCAATGACATCGATTTGGACGCTGCATCTTTTACCCAACGAGCAAAAGAAGTGAGGCAGCTTGCACGCGTCCGAATCACCCAGCAACAAAATTACGACGCCCAACGTTATAATCTGCGACACCGACATGTCGTCTATCGGCCCGGCGAGAAAGTCTGGCTATGGAGTCCTACCAGCCGCCGGGGACTGTCTGAAAAATTGCTGAAGAGGTATTTTGGCCCCTACACAGTTTTACAATGCCTGAGTGACGTTAATTAAGTGATCGTTCCTGACAGCCCCTCGACAACTCGCCAGCAAAAACCAGAAATCGTGCACGTTGTGCGAATGAAGCCCTATTTTTCGGACTGATTTGCACCATACATCTACTGCACCATCTTTTGTAGAAGAGCATCGGAACGCTGCTCTCTGGAGGGGGGCAAATTCCGCATTGAATATACAGCACCAAGAGAGCAACGAAGAGCACGCGCAGCGAGAGAGAAAGACGAGGTTTTCATCCGAATCAGTTTGCCAGTGTTCTGGTACAATTAAAGTGAGTTGTCCTGTATTCAACTGCTGCTATTTCTGCATTGCGACACTGGTGGAGGCGCTGGGTACATGTTCGGGATGCCTGACAACAGCCCCGCATCTAGTCCAGAAAGACTTCCGCGCATCGACACCCCCGTTCACCGCAGCAGCCGCTGCCTGTTAGGCCTCAGCCTGGAGTTCGCTCTATTGCCGGAAAGCGTTACCGTGCCAGAAAGCATGACGGCACCTGGAAGCACTAGCCCCAACATGTCCAGCCCAAGCAAGACACAGGTGACTGTTTTGAACACTCGACTTCCGGTTGACTTCCACGGAAACACATATGAGGACACACATGACTGGCTCGAGGAATTCGAGCTCACAGCGAATGTTAACGGGTGGAACACCATACAGAAATTGGGCTACGTGTATTTTCCGCTTCAAGACCGAGCCCGAAATCGCTTTACGAATCACGTGTGGTCGTCTTGGGACGAGTTCCAACAGAAGTTCCTCGATACGTTCACGAGCACCGAAAGATGAGAAATCGCACAGCGTCTCCTCGATTCACGGATTCAGAAACCAAATGAATCCGTTGCGATGTTTGTTGAGGACATGGCGCAACTGTTTCGTCGAGCAGATCCCAATATGCCCAAAGCCAAAAAGGTTAGCCACCTCATGCGGGGCGGGGCGTTAAGGAGCAGCTGTTCGCTGGTCTCGTACGAAACCCACCTACAAGTGTTGATGAATTCTCCAAGGAGGCGACATCCATCGAACCCGCACTGCATCTACGCTACCAGCAGTATGACCGCCGAACCCACAGTGCACCGATCAGCGAGGCAGCCACGACCACAGCAACGACACCCGAAGAAGGTTCTTAACGCCAACTGATACGAGAAATCGTACAAGAAGAGGTCAAGAAGCTCGTCGCCAAACCGAATGACTGCGCAATTGCCTCAGTAACAGAAGTTGTGCGCCAGGAGATCAGGCAAGTGCTCTCGCTTCCTGAGCCGAACACGAGCACCCCCAGAGCAAGCTATGCAGACATAGTCTGCCGACAGCCAGCGAACGTGCCGACACTGGATCAATACCCCCAGTGTCGCAACGCAGAAATAGCAGCAGTTGAATACAGGACAACTTACTTTAATTGTACCAGAACACTGGCAAACCAATCGCATGAGAACCTCGTCTATCTCTCTCGCTATGCGTGCTCTTCGTTGCTATCTTGGTGCTGCATATTCAATGCGGCAATATATATATATATATATATATATATATATATACGTGCAAGTGACATAGCATAAATGAAAGTTAAAGCAATAAAGTGTTTAGAGTACCATAGACCTTGGAAGCAGATCCACCGAGTTATTTTGAGGGGGGGTCACTTGAAGTAACACCACCAGAGGGGGGGGGAGGTCCTGACTTCTTTGTTTTTAGTTGCATGAAAACTCCGTCCTAGAAAAATACCGTTAATGTGTGCTCACAGTCATCCCACTCATATGTTCTAATTGGTGATGAGAGGTGGATGACAAGCACCAAAGAGAGGGGGGTACTCACAAAGGCTTGGGGATGGGGGGGTAATCACCACCACTGCCATCAACCTTTCTTTTTTTTTTCAATAATAGTTGTTATAGTCAAATGATGAGATCAAAAATAATGGAATGGCAATTAAATTTGCAAGGTTGGCAGCATGACTGAAAGTAAAAACACTCGGATCGACAAACAAGAAGCCTGCAAAGAGAGTACTACTGCTCACCTCATTGGTGACGATCGATGTATTGCTTCGACACCACCGCCACTACCAAGCACAAAGGCAATGTCGTCACGCAATGTGGCAAGTGGAAGGTGATTTGTACCTTTGAAGAGACACCAGTGTAATAATTCCATTGCTGTTGTAGATGGCTGGCTGTGGTACACTGCACACAAGACTTCTTCACAAGGCTTCCTGAAACAAGTATCAGAGTATCAATATCTTTCACCAAATTCCTTGACGAGGCTTGTGTAGCACACTTGGTACTCTTAAGACAAGCAGGCTGAAAAGCACCATTTGCCTTATACAGTCGAGCCCCTTTATAAGAGACAGTAATAGAAGAGAAACAGGTATGAGACACCAGTGTGCCTACAGTAAAATACGAGTTGGTAAAACGCATACGAGGTACCCTGCTCATAAGAGACATTCCATATAAAAGACAAGAAATGCTGCCCAGAGCATGCCTCTTAAAGGGGTTCAACTGTATAGAGCTTTAAAACTATATAAATCCTTCAAGAACAGCTGTACTGTGTGACCAAACGACAGATTCAGTCGGGCTTGCAGCTGCTTTTAAACTGTTACAAATGTCACACGGACATTATGAATGATGCATTTTTTCAATACATATCATGCAGTAATTTATGAATACTCATAAAGCAAGTCTCAGTCAGACTGACATTATGTAAAAGGTGAGATTTTTACCAATGTGCATCTGTGCATAACTACTGCAATGGCACTTGTGACATACGTGACAGCAGACCAAAAACACAAGTTATATCACACTGAGATTGGCTACAAAAAGAAACCCACAGCAAACCCCATATACACATCAAATAATAATCAATCTACAACAAAATAATCGTTACAGCTTACTTCCACATTATGTTATATCGATAAATGCCACCCGAATTATGCAGAGCAAGATGTCTATGTTATATTCTCTGCCAACCTTTCCTTCATTACAATTGCTAAAAGCTGCCTGCATACAGCAATGTTCAAATGATGCTAATAAATTTCACAGCAATTTCACTCGTCAGGCACCACTAAAGGGGACTGCAAGATTTTTAGATATTTGCTGAGGGCGTGGAGGGGGGAGACAACAGAAAAGCAAAATTGTGATATTTCGTTTTCTGTCCTAATTTGAAATTTGCCATTTTGGCAGCTCTCATAGATACAGTAGTTGTATGGCCTTTGACCACCACAATTCGCCTATTAACGTGCTTCTGAGTTTGGAATAAACAAAACTGCCACCTTCTGTATGAAATGACAAGAGGAAGCTTTTTTTTCCCTCCCTTCTACGTTTAAGTCCTGCAAAGCTTAACACAGACATTTATATTGTATAATAGGTGCTTTAATTATTTGTGGTGGTCTCGTGAAATACATACATCATACCGTAATTATGGCAGTGAATAACTACCAAAATAAGCAAAATAGGCAAGACAAAAATTTGCATGACAGTACCACTTTATCATCAAATAAGGAGTAGACAAATTGTGGAGAGGACACATACCATTATAAATCTTTGCCAGAAATACTGCTTTTGAATATCCAGCAAAGACAAACTTATCTTTCTTTAGAAGTCTGCAATTAATTTGTTTCTTTTAAGGTCATGAAATCCACACTCCCGAAGTACTACAAGCACTTATTGTTTTTTCAGCTGCTGTAGCAACCTTAAAAACAAGACAATTACTATACGATTAACATTTAGGCAACAGCAAAATAACCGAAAATGTGAAAAAAAAAAAAGTCGGCAGATCCCACATACCTTGGGAATCGATGTTATGCGAAGCATGCAGATGGAAGCTGATTGTGTTGTCATTTTTTATTGAGCGAAACATTATGAAGTGGCACTAAAGATATGCACGAGTGCACGCACAGACATGCATTAACAGCTGCACTTGTTTTACATAACAAGTTCCTTGCAGTTGTGTAACAATGCTAACAGCAACATAGATATTCGCAACACCAGAAGTGCTAAGGTGATATGAAGCGCTGGTGCTCGCGAGGATGGTAGGCCTGAACACTGCTACATAAATATACTTCTGCAGATGGTGCCTAACTACAACTGACATTGACCCGAAATGAAGCCTGCGCCATAGGAGTATGTATATATACGATGTTTATAAAATTAGACACCAAGCACTGCAACCACAATTGATGTTTCACGAACGTTAGGGTCTATTACTTGAAAAGTAGTTCCAAAACCTGGCGTAGCTTTGTGGTAAATACTTGATTGCCATGCCGAATGCTGGGGGTTCGCTTCCTGGTAGGACCCTGACATTTATTCCTTGCATTCGTGGGGTCAACGTTGCTGCCGATGTCAACTTTTTCTTAACGATCACGCGTAAAAATTACCCATGTGAGTTCCCGCCGTTCCTGGGTAGACATAAACTGTCAATCACCTGTGGCATATGCCCACATACCGATGGCACATGTGCACTCGCCATTCCTGGGTAGATATAAACTGTAAGTCATCTGTGGCATATGCCCGCATATCAGTGGCACATACCTACTCACGCGCATGTGTCACTGTCTGGCGGAAAGTGTTTGACAAGTATGCGACAAGATTGTGACATCATTCATGCCATAACAGCGAGTCATATTTGTCATTCATGAAACCATCTTACCCGCCCATACTAATTTTTGTTGACCCCACCTTAAGGGGTGATCACGAGAGCACCCGAATGTAGACGGCTGTCTGGCTCTGCAGACAGACAGACAGATGGGCGGACGGATAACAGACAGACACTGAAAGTGCCTGCAGTACACAAAGAAATGCCTCTCGCATTTCAAACGTCAACAGGAAGTATACGGTGTAGCGTTTTAATGCCATAAAAGAAACAATGCTGCCCACTATCCCTTCAAGTAAAGCAGTACAAACTCACCGTAGGTAGGACACTGTGTTTTCAGTGCAGACGGCAATTTCAAAAATTACTGGAAAAACTGGAAGCATTGCTTCAAGAATTGGATGATTGGGGTCAAGGCAGGACACAATCTAAAAGAAGTAATCAAAGTTGGGTGTGCCAAAATTGGTATTTATGCAAGCAGTGACATGATTGACAAAAGCTGCTTCGGGGCTGCTTTTGAAGCGGCTGAAACTTTCTCACTAATACGTGAATACAAAGAGTGTCCTAAGGTCTAGCTAGGGCAGCAGTGCATGTTACCACATCTCCGAAAACATCAGCATGTGCACCCACACATGCATATAGACTATCCCAGAGGATAAAAGTGACTTACTGATTTTCATTTTCTAGTCAAGAGCCCCAAGTTTTTTCGCGTCATAAACTGACCTGTCTTAAAGTAATAAAAAAAATTACCAATACCTTTAATATCATATGTCATACATGGAAAGCTTCTCCTATGCTTTATATGCAGTGTTTTAGCCAGAATAGAAATTGATTTGAAGCAAGAGCTGCAATACTGAAAACATGGCATAAACTTCTGAGGGGTTATTTTTCGTAAGGAAGGTAACCTTCCTGATGATGTTACATGCAGGGCTGGGCAGTATTGCGACATGAGAGTATCACGGTAGTATTTCAGAGATACTTCTGAGTATCTGTACTGCTGTACCGAGATACTTTTCAAAAATGCATTTGTATCTCAGTAGTGAAATACTTTTACGATGTATCGCCCGCATCACGATACTATCCAGGACATGGGTATTTTTGTTACTTTTTTTTTTTTTTTTCGGAAATGAGCTGGAACCTTGACAGTCCACGGTGAGATATGTAAAAAACATTTCCACATTCCTGCTCAGGTCGGAACTGACACCTACCTTCTTGAAAGCGACCTAGTCGCTTTGCGACCAGCATCTCATCGTGCACCTTCAGGCAGAACTGGAATGTGTTTGAATGATCGCCTGCTCGAGCTTGCATACAATGTTATACTGCCATTTTGAATTCCAGCAGCGATATTTTTAATTGTGAGGAGCATTTTATACTACACAATGGGAGCCAGCCCACAGCGCCATTTTTAAAATGTGTTCCCTCATGCCAATTGAACAAGCAGTGCTTTTATTTTTTTCTCGTTTTTTTTTCCTCATTTTTTTTGCGGTCCCCATTAGAAAAACCGAAGCTCTTATCGCGGAAGCAACAAACCACCCAAAGAATTCAGTGTGTGGTGCCGTGTGCCATCAACGATACTTCTTTCTCCAAAGCATTTATGGAAGACATTAGCGTGGCCAGGAGGTCTTTTTGCGTTTCCTATCACATTTCTTGTTTTGTGCGTTCTTCTTTCTGGTTTCTCTATGTTTCTAGGAAACACTAAACCTTCAACTGGAAGTAAGCGCTCGTCTTCATTGTTCATGTGTTCCCCTCCTGCTTCACGCTAGGCCACTTTAGCAAAACTGGAAACCAACTAGCCTGAACCGCTAGTCTACTAAGTAGAAGGTCGTTGAAGTAAGCGCCGCCATTACAGCCGCTGCAAGGAATTCAGGAGCCTTACTTTCTTTTGTTTTTTAATCAGGCTGACTGCTATGATTAAAAGCATACCTTTTCTCAATTCGTTTGTTTATGGTTCCAGCGCTTCGCTTGAACTATGCTACTTCTAGCATAGCTAATACTGTTGCCGCCAAGTATACCGATTTTGGTGTACAATGTGTGTGACTCTTCCTCTCATACAGCATAGCTTTTTATTGCAACTGATATCTGTAAATATGTCATTAACAATTACTTGCAGTGTAAGCCTCCTTTGTAATGCCTTAATGGCACTTAGAGCATGATGATAAAATAATGAATAAATATAATTCCAAGTTTCAATGCACTGCGCGTTTTAAATATTATGCTGCACATAACAAATGTCTGTACGGAGTATGACTATCGCCAACATAGAGAAAAGTATTTCAGTATCTGTATTGCTGTACCTGTATTCCGGAATAATTTGTTTGTCCTTTCGCAAAAGTATCTCTGAGATATCCCATTACATCAATTACAAATGTATCTCAGTATCTGTATTTTAGGCTTCCAAACCATGTATTTCGATATCTGTATTCCGGAATACTTTTTCGAGTATCTCTGCCCAGTCCTGATTACATGCTTTCAGTACAAGCTGGGTATTGGTACCCTTGCTATTAGCATGATATGATGTTCACACACACGTCTTTGTAGCACAGCTGCATGTTTGCAACACGTAATGATACCTTTCTACACAGTGTAAGTGGTAATTAGGCATATGATTATGATAAGCTGTGATCGTCAATATGCGACAAGTGTGATTTACCTGCTTATCACCATCCTAATCCAATAATGCTACAGTTGCACCAACATGAAGAATTAGTTGAAGTAGAAATAACCTTCATATTGCCGAAAAAAAAAATGCTGTTCACACTTTTGTACTAAATATTTAATTTAAAAACTAGAACTGAGAATGAGTCACCTAAAGCCACCAAATTATATACCTAGATGGACTGGATCACAAGTGCAAAATTAGGGAATACCAGATCAGCAAGAACCTCAAGGCAAGTTGTTTTTTTGTAGAAGCCATTGCTCAGTGGAATCAAAAAGTCACCTGAGCAAGCGTGTGGTGTCACTGAAGACATACTCTTTCAAGCTTGTAAACCCTTACTATAACAGCTTTGGGATAAGTGACGAAGTGTCTTGATAAACAATAAAAAATAAATGCCTTCTGTGCAGTACAATTATTGGTCATCAGATCCTTTCTTTTTCATTTTTCTTTCATCCCAGTACACTTTCGAATGACTGCCACAACTAATTCCAAGCACACGTCTTCTTTTTCTCAAACACACGCACATACAGGCACATACAAATGATGTATTAACCCAACAATAGAGCAAAATTATGCAACTGCAGCCCAAATGTATCCCGGTGCTGGAGGTTTTTCCTCTGGGTGCGATTTGGCCCAGCAATGTCACTTGGCATGGTAGCCATGCAAACATCGTGTAGCTACATTTTAGCTATAATTACAAATAGATATGTTAGTCAAGTATCTTGTGAAAAGCTTAAGTAATTTAACAGCATATAGCATTAAAATACAAAATAAGACATGTAAATACTGGTGGGCACTGCACAAAATTAGCTTTCATTTTTTCAAGTTTGGTCGAGTCTTACTAAATAAGTACCATATAGATGAAGGGTGTCTTCGGACTTTACCTTGTGAGTTAACTCAATGCAGTTCCCCAAATCCTCTTCTGATGCAATTATACCATTAGATTTCAAGGCACCACCTGGATCAGACAGAATATGATGTTTAGTCTCGCTCGACTCAAATAGCTAATATGCTGTAAGTGTTCTATTTTTCGCAAAATCAATCTTTTTCATTTGACTTCAGTGCTAGAATTACTGAATTACTCATTGACAGTAAACATTGTACAGCAATCATGTCACCAGAAGGATGCTCATATGTAAGAAATGATCATAAAAATGTTTGCAGTACCATTTACCGTAATTACTCGAATCTAACGCGCACCTTTTTTCCGGTTAAGCAAGTTCATAAATCGCATGCGCGTTAGAATCGAGTACGAAACAAAAAAAAATGAATAGGGTCATTCTATTGCCATCGACACGTCAAAAATGGCCGCCCCCTATGTGCGTCGGCATGGCCCACGCCTTCTCTAAGAAGATGCCTGCCGCATGAGAAAAAAAAGCAGTTGCCACGCCCTTTCTCTCCTTCATTTTGAAAATGTTCTCGGTCGCTAGCGTCACCTGTGGCGGACGGGACAACAACGCAACACTTTGCATATCCTCCAAAACAGTGGTGCACAGTTGCAGGTCTCGAACAACTCTCGACTTACGCGCCCCTATGGGCCGCAGATGAGAAACGCTTGGGCTAGTATCGCCCGTCGCCGTGATGATAGTGTCGGTCGCGAGCGCCACCGCGCGGAGCTTGTTTAAAACTGAAGGCAGGGCAACTCTGCTGGAAGCGCGAGGCATTCCTCGGGCATCTTTCTAGAGGAGGCGTTGGCATGGCGCGTCGGCCATTTCTGCCAATGTGTTTACCATGTGCGGCACTTCGTACGTGTGCTGAGGAGTTCGTCGTATCGTAGTGCATTCCCATCGACGGCATGGAAGGGCTGACTCCGAAGACTCGACGAGTGCACCACGATGCTGCTTTCAAAAGAAAAGTAATCGCGTGTGCAGAAACGGACGGAAATCGGGCCGCATCACGGTCGTTCGGAGTTCCTGAAACGTGCGTGCGGGACTGGCGGAAACAGAAGCAGAAGATTGTGGACTGCAAGGCTTCACGTAAAGGCTTCAATGGACCGCAGCAGGGTCGGTTTCCGAAAATTGAAGAGCTGCTCGCCGAGTATGTGCTTGAACAGCGAGCGGCACAGCGGCCCATGACGACGGAACTGCTTCAAGTGCGGGCTATGCAGTTAGCCCTGGAAAAAGGGCTAACGCGGAGCCAGTTCAAAGCGAGCAGGTGCTGGCTAAGTAACTTTATGAAAAGGAAAGGATTTTCCCTCCGAAGGCGAACGGGCATATGCCAAAAGTTGCCGGAGGAGTACGAAGAAAAGCTCCTCAGTTTTCAGAGGTTCGTCCTCAACTTGCGGCACAACAACGGCTACCCGCTTGGGCAAATCTGGAATGCCGATCAGACGCCTCTTTACTTCGACATGCCTGGCACCACAACCGTCGAAAAGAAGGGGGCGAAGCAAGTTCGCGTGCTGACATCGGTCCACGGTAAAACTACAGTGACGGCAATGCTCTGTTACACGTCAGATGGGCACTAGCTTTGCCCGTACCTCATATTTAAATGGAAGACAATCCCGAAAGGAATCGTTTTTTTGAGTGGTGTGATCGTACGGGCCAACGAGAAAGGTTGGATGACGACGGACCTGGTCACCGATTGGATCCATCACGTCTGGCGGAAGCGGCCTGGCGCCAGTTTGGGCCTGCGAGCGATGCTCGTGCTCGACGCGTTCAGGTGCCATCTCGACGAGCGGATCAAGAACAAGGTCGCTGCGTGCAATACGGACCTTGTAGTCATACCTGGCGGCATGACGTCCCAACTTCAACCGCTGGATGTCTGCCTGAACAAGCCGTTGAAGAACAAGATGCGGGCGCTTTACACCGACTGGCTGATCAATGAACGACATGATTTCACGCCAGGCAACAGGATGAAGCGCGCCTCTCTGCAAGACTTCGCTGCGTGGGTGAAGGACGCGTGGTGTGCAATACCATCAGCCATGGTGATCAAGGCATTCAAGAAATGTGGCATCTCGAATGCCATGGACGGTACCGAGGATGAAATGCTTTGGGCTGTTGACAGTGATAAGGAGTTGTCTGACAGCGACGAGGACTGACCTATTACGCAACTCGTAACGCCGCCGTAGTGGTCTCAATGTTAGCTACAGGGCTGGCTGTTTGACAGTGTTTTATCTTTTGAAACTTCAGTGCATTAAAACCCAAATACTTGTTCTCAATGTGCAAAATTTGACTCCTACGGACTTTTTTTTTTCTCTCCCGTCGCGGAAAATGGGTGCGCGTTACAATTGATGTCCTACTTTTTTTTTTTTTTTCGTCGCGGAAATCGGGTGCGCGTTACAATCGAGGGCGCGTTAGAATCGAGTAAATACGGTAAGCACAAATTTTAAGTTGCTAACAAACAGAAATATGAATGCAGTGAACCATGAAGTTTGAAGTTGCCATGACATGGTCACCCAACAATTAACAGTTTTCAGCAAAAAATGAAGGGAGAGGGTTAAATATGCCTCTACATGTCTGAAAACTGGACTGAAAAAGATTATTATTTTAGTCCAAAATAAGCCGTACAAGGCATGCTGCAAACTACGCTCACCACCGATGAGCGCCATTTTGCCATGGCGTATGCGCCGTCACAAGCCGTAAGGAGCAGTGCAGTCATCTGCTACTGAACAGCACGTTCCGCACGCAGTCAGTGTGTTCACTGCATTGCTTGCCACATAGTCTGCACGTGTCAGTGTATCGCAAGTGCTGCGGCGTGTTGACGTACTATCCCTATGTTGTCGGCCCCATCATCACCTCACGATTCCGACAGCGGTTCATCAAGCAACAGAAGCAGCGACGATATCGTGTACGCTGCGCATTTTGCTTTCAATCCCATAGCCACTAACTCAAGCGTCCAAGAAAGCGTCGAAGACGAGGCGAACCCAGATGCCAATGACCTCAGCGTTGAGGCAGATGTTGCAGACTGCCTTCCGCAATGATAAGTAGCTTTATTTCAAGCATGCCAGGTTAACAAGTTAGTTCGTGATATAGGGGTCTGCTGCATTAGCAAGCAAGTGTTGTTTTGCACAACAAAATTGGTAAAGCGTGCTAGCATACGTGCATGCATGCTTTTCAGTGCTGAACATAATAAATAGGTGGTTGTAAGAATGAAGCGAGTTGGGATCGTTGTTTTTCCATCAGTTGTGTGTGGCATATGTACACATTAGCCGAAGCACCAGAATTACTCATTATATACATTTTGGCCTAATCTTTGCTTGAACTCTGTTGATTGCTTTCAATTCCGGTAAAAAATAGCAAGTGTGGCTTAACCATGACACTGCCTGTGAAAGTTTGAATAAATATTTATTCGTATTGGCAAACGGAATACGTGTTGCCCATTCACAGGACACTTATTGACCTCAGAAAGATTGACAAAAGTTGTTTGCTGCATGTACCAATGCTACTTGAGCGACGCTACACACAGCGCTACATGGGGAATGCGGTGGCAGTGTTTAAACCACTGCAAGTCATTCAGTTTCAATGGCTAGTTGAACACAAAAAAAGCTCGATTGCAAGTGCAGCTGACCATGGGACACAATCGTCCTCTGGAAGGCAGACCGTCCAGCAGCTCGCCCAGCAAGCGGCTCGTTACACTCATGGCCCACCATAAATCCATTTCTTTCTGTTTGCCAATTTTCAGAAATGATTGGCACTCTCGCATGGCCGTTCAATGGCACGCCGTGGTGACATCACAGTGCATTTCGAAGCTAGTGCGGTGTCTGGGATACGCAGCCGATGCAGCGACCGGCAGAGCGACAAAACGGACATAAGCGACTGTTCGTGATAAATGTGTACTGCGATGTGCTACTTGGAGAACACAGACACAGCATTTCTGAGACGCGGCGCGGTCGCAAGGAGCCGATCGTCTACTGGCTAGTACATCTACTTGGCAGGCACACCATGCCAAGTAGGATCGTCTACTTGGCAGGAACATCATGCCAAGTCGTTTGTGCACACTCCGCTTCAGACGGCGCACAGATGCAGCGAGAAAACTATTACGTTAACATGATGATGCGAGCTTTATGGAGCGGTGCTCTAGCAGTCCTGGCAGCAGACTGAAGCGCGTTTGGGTTGTCGCCTTACGAAAGCACGCTAAACTTGCTGTCTCGGTACCCGTGATCGACAACGTGAGCGACTGTTGTTTCTGAAAAGCGGTTCACGCTGAACACAGTCCCGTACAATGATCGAGGTGGCAGTGATCGACGCCCCTGTGAGCTCAGGTATTTGCAGCTATTAAAAGCGTGCAGTAGGCTTAAAGCGGCGCTATGCCACACCCATAGCATTTTCATCGGCGATGTCATACTGGTGCACTTTTCGGTGGTAGCCACATCGTCTTTGTTCTTTGCCAGTGGTTACCAGAAAAAGCATTGCCCCAATTGTGCAGAAGTGAGAATAATTGTTTGGCCAATGCCTTGCTCTTGCAGCAGCGCAAGTGTACAAGATAGCGACCATCACGTAATGTCAGCTCATATACATGCTGTCAATGTTAATTTCGGTTCCAAAACCACCTTGTGGCACAGCAATGGCACAAGTCAGACAGAAAAGACTTTTCTGAAGCAGTATGGCGCAGTAATTTCCAGTTGGTGCAGGTTGGCACAGGTTTCTCACCACTGCTGCAGAAAAAATAAAAAAAGCCTGAGAAACTAGAGGCTAGAGCAATGCGTTCGGTTTATTTCACTTCTGATGAGCCTTTCATTTTTAAGGTGTGTGATCAATCTATGTGGAACAATTTGTTTGTTCAAATATAAAAAAATCGTTGAACAGGCAAAGTTGCTAGAGCCGTAGCTTTGACAAATGAATCTGACACGACAACTGCCTTCTTGCAGAATGTTTTTTGTCCCTTGATCCCTCCCCTCCAACCTCGCCAGTCGCAGGGAGATTTAGGAACTTCTCTTCCTGCCCTATCTATATCCCTGTGATGTTAACACTGGAAGGAAGTAATTTCATAGGTTGTGAAGGCAAGCTCAGGAGTGGCCAGTCAGAGGTCACCTCCTTGTCTTCCTTTTTATTTCTACCTTGCAGCGACCAGCACGTGCACTTTTTTTTTGTTGTCCTTGTCCATATGCGCAACAATATATGCTTTTACTCTCATTTCACAGCCACAGACTTCACAAGTTCTCAGACTTGTGCTCCTCTACGATGTCCTCAATGTGTAGTGAGTGTGTATCATGATTTGCTCCTTGATAGGCTTGTGCAAATAGTGAATTTTAGGTTCGAAGTGAATAGTGATTTTGGTCGAATGACTCTGAATCGAATTCGAATAGTATATACCTATTCGAGACAGACATATTATATAGCGAGACAGACAAGATGGGTGTTGTGGGTGTCTCACTCACTACAATGACGCAGTTCAACAACTGAACCTTGCGGCTGAAGCCACCTGTACCTGTCCTTGCAGGTCGTCGGCAGCGCGGGCTTTTCCACCCAGGAATGCCGTCCACGCTTCCTTGGCGATGGAGTCACCAACCCGACCACTGCTTCAGCTGCCCATAAGATCATCAGTGGACAATGTCAATGCCTCCCCTGCGGTACCAGGGCACGACCTAATAGACACCATGCTACAACTTCGCCGCAGGAATATGCACGGGCTCCTCTCCTTTGGGAATAACGTCCATGCTTCCCGTGGCCTGTGTTCCGTTCCCGATACTCTGCCCACATTCGAGCCAGCAAGAAAAGTCATCCAGGCTTACTTGCTATTGGATCTCAACAGAGTGCGTGCTGAAACAGCTGCATACTCGGAGACTGCGATCACCGACTCTTCGAGCTTCTCACCCGACAGCGTCGCAAACCTGTGGCATACCATCCCATAACTCTGCATTGAGACTAACGAACTAACAGCATCGATCACTGAGTGAGCTCCTCCCATGTTGCCAGCATTGCATGCCAATAACACAGCCGCCTCACCTCCTATGTGGCTCCTCCCATGTTGCCAGCCCACCCGAGCAACTTTGCGAGCATTGGTTTTCTGTCATCCAACTTTCACACCGGCTGGGTTGCTCTGTGCCGATGAGCTCTGCATTGCCACCTGCCACCCCACCATCACCAGCCTTCTACGGACTACCGGAATTACATGGGCTTCAGAAGAATGCCGACAGCTGGGTGGCAATAGTCAACACGCTAGCAGTTCGTGAGGTCTAGATAGAGTCTTAGAGATGGTCCATAGCCATCAAACACTTTTGAAAATGGCGCCGTGGCTTGGCAACGGTATGAAGGCATGCGGTAGCAGTCCTGGGTAGAGTGGTGCAATAAGCTCATAGCTGCCTTTGGACAGACACTATGACCATGCTGCTACCATACAGTCTACGCTGACCGCAACCGAGGATGGAGCTCAGGAGGAGCACTACCTCGAGACTGCAACTGTGCATTCCAGCTCACCTTTAGAGAGTGTCGCAACCTGCCCAGGGACACAAACACAACTGAGCCCTTTTTCATGATTTCAGACCACATCTCATTCGCAGCCATTAGAGAAGCGATTCCGAAGCTCGCCATCAGATGAGCATGCCCCTGCTACCATTTTGCAACAGTGACAGTCAGAGGAGCGGTCTTCACTTCTAGCACAGTCACACCGGCAACCTGACCTGCCTGTGAATTCCAGGAAAGAGGAGCTGGTCATGCAAAAGCATGGTCCTCAGCTGTTAATGCAGCTATTGGCCGCATGTGCAGACTCTCAGCTACTGTTGAGTGACACACCGCTTAAAGAAGTCAAAGCGACAGACGATGCCACATCCGTCAAGGATCAGCCCCTTTCATTCGGCGGGTATCATTGCATGACTGAGCTTACACCTCAGCCAGAAGTTGATATACATCAGCCCTGCCCCCTACCATGTGAGCTTATTCCCTACCAGAACCAGCTCATTCAGACTGCCACTGAAAGGAATGTGGACAACGACAGAGTGCTTTGTTGCACCGTATCCGTCACTGGTTGATCGGGCAGCGACAAGTTCGAAGGGAGAAACAGTGAGATCGAGATGGCTTTGGACAACTGCAATAATCTATATATATCATGACCTAACGAATCTGCACAATATATTTTACAAATTAAAATAATGCCTCTGTAAAAATGCTTTTTTTTTAGTTCAAAGGCAGCTTAAACAATTTCCAGTAGTCGCAGTTTGGCTTTCGGCAGAATGCTAGTGGATGACCTGTAAAATATGTAAGAGTTAAAATTTACTATCCTTAGAGCTTATAAACTGGCATACCAAGCTTTTTAACTTAAAAAAGTTATGAATCAATTTGAGGGTAATATATTAATTTAAAGGAGCCCTGCAACACTTTTTCATGTAGCCATAAAATGTATTCACTAAAGGAGCTTTATTGCCTCATGAGTTCATAGCTGCAAATATTTTTAGAATCTGTCCGGTACGAGTGGAGTTACAAAGATTTGCACACACTGCGATTGCATTTTCTTTTCTCTCATCCCGACAAAAGCACTGGAAGCTAAGCAGAGAGGGCTGGCATGGGTAAAGAAAATACATCACACGCACCTCATGACCTTGAGCCCTCTTTCTCTTTTTTTTTTTTTCTTCGAATATGCGGCTTTTCGTGCAATTGCGCATGCACGTATAAACAAGTCGCGGCCTCCCATGGTGACTTAAGAAACGACTGAGCAAGCCTTGCTCAAATTACTCAATGGCTAATACAATGGCTGCGACAAGCAATTTTTAAGCTTGTAGCATCACTTGTCGAGAGAAGAGAAAGCAAATTTTGGCTGACTTTGAAAATTTATTGTGAATTGCAGATCGCATGCTGCGCTATAATAATTGCCTCGCGTGTTCTTGGTAGCCTCGAATACCGATCAGCAGCATTTTCTGACCCTGCCCAAAAAGTGTTGCAGGGTCTCGTTTAACTTTACAACAATGCCGATTTCCCCTGAATAAATATGTGTTTTCATGGCTTAGCACTAGTGCACTGCAGTGAAACCACCTCTACAGGATGTTACATGCGAACTAATATACATTTATTCGTTCGTTGCGAATACTTTGAAACTTTCGATAATTTAAATTCGAATTGAAGCGAATTCGAATACTCTACTATTCATTCAAATATTCAAACCATTTGAATATTCGCACAAGCCTACTCCTTAATGAACACACTGCCAAAGGAAGGTGCTCGATACTTGTACATGGTCCTGTACACTGCATGCATAGGCAGCAATGCATAAAAAAATACGCAGGACTTGCACAAGTACAGACCTGTGATCACTCCAAATGTGTGTAGCATGACGATAGTTATAGCGCGAGAACAAAACGACGACACAGAGACAAGAAGGACACGAAAGACACGAGCGCTCGTGTCTTTCGTGTCCTTCTTGTCTCTGTGTCGTCGTTTTGTTCTCGCGCTATAACTATCGTCATGCCATACCAACTAGCCCAAGCTGCCACACTTCTAAGTGTGTAGCATGGCTGCCCAGAGCATATCTCACTCCAAGGCATGTCATGAAGGGTTTCGTGCTTCAATACTATGCTCGCTGTGTTCCTTCCATAAATCTGCACAATCCATACCTCCTTGTGCCTCTTTTGCGTGACAGGTATCACCAGACGTTCATTGCAAATGAATTGTTCTTTTAGAATTCTGGGTACAACCGCTCCTTTAATACACTACTTGAATGCTCCTATGGGAGAAAGCATGCGTGCACTGTAGTACCCTCGTATTTATCATAACCCTGTCCTACTGGCACTTAAAAGTCTTCTTCAGAACAGACTTCTCCCTAAAAGGAGATCTTGACAGCAGACACAAGGCAGAGAGTGAACTTCTTTTCAAAAGCAGTCTTTTTCGTAAACTGAGTTTATCTTTTTTGCGGTGTAGAATGAGTAGCCTGGGCGTCAGCCATTTCCAAGTCAAGAAAAAAAAAAGTGTATGCTTGTTTTTCTGTCATCAAGGCTCTTTATAAAAACCAATTTCATACCCTGCAGAAGATATAATGAACCCTTTACATGGTTATTTCCTTTTCTACTGTCTTGAGCATCTAGAACAAATCAGTGACATCACGTGGTAATGCTCCCCCTCGTGCCGTTTTGCACCAGCAGGAAAGGCGTGCTCGGCAGTCACGTGTGTACTCGGTAATCCAGTAGTCTGAGCGTCTATGGTCAACCCCGGGGACCGAGCAGCCGGCAGCGCCCGAAAAAAGCAGCGTCTACAATGGTAGGAGGTGGGCACCTGGAGTTTAATCAGACTATGGGACGGTGACCTGGACTCATTACACACACTGAAGCACAACGGCGAAGTGTACGCCAGCAGCGTCTGCCGCACTTTCCACAGCGAGAATGCAGGCCATAAGACTTGCGATTCTCGCTTTTTCTTAGGTATGATCGCCCATAACATGTCGAGAGCACCAAAACACAAATATAATAAATAAAAGCACAGTAATGCCAGACGGACGTGTACACGAAACTAGTTATAAAATGCTTCCTTAACTAATGCAACAAACCTTCACACTTCGGTTTCATCATCTGTTATTCTTAACGTGATTTGCAGAAACAAGCAAAACAACAAGTTTTACTTTTTGTATACCGCTACCTCGTTTTATTTTCATTGCTTCTCTTTTGACTGCTAGCATCACACTTCCAGTAGAGTCTTCGACGTAAAAAACTAAAAGGAGATTGTTGATGCCATGCACCTGTGCCACAACGCCTTTTCCTCAAGTCTTTCAACTTCGTAAAAGACCACTTATGGAAGACTTTTTGCACACCCTTGTGACACAGGCATTAGGTAACAGCTGACATGACCCTGCTATTTGCCTAGTGGTTGATACTCCTGCAAGTACGATTATGGTATGCAGATAGGGTTTTAGCTTACCCTGCTGGCAGGTGCAGATGAAAAGTGGTCTAAAGACCTTGCTGAAAACAAAGCTAGATGTTTTTTGGGGCTGCTCTTCCAGCATGGCACCCACGATAGCACATGTGACTCGAAAGATGATCTTGTCCATTATAGAGCCTTGTGGCCGAAATAGAAGCTGCACCACCTGTAATGATTGCATGTAATATCAGTCAGTCAAATGGCAAGCATTTCTACACAAGTATAAACCATGTTAAAAACTAATCTTGATTAAAACGTCTGAAAGGCCCACTTCACAAAAATACTAAATAGGTCGAGACAAACAGACTATTTTTGAAAGCTTCCCAAGCACTTGTTCTGGAGAAAAGAATAAAGTAAGACAGATATTGTTCACACTCCACCTAAGTCGCACTGGAAAGTGTTGTAGGCTCTTAGCACTCGCACTCACTGAAAGTATTTTTGCAAATATCCAAGGCATTGTACCTCAATGCTTAGACGCTGAGACCACAATAAATGCATGTAGAAACATAAGGACTGCCAATCCACTTTATACCAGCACCATCAGGAGGCCACACAACTAAAGTGAATTTCTTTGAGAGAGCAGCTGCCTTGATTTCTCGCTAGAAGAGTCTCTCACCACCTACAACTTACAATGTCACAACACATTTGTTTAACAATTCACAATGTGACACCGCCTGATATGTGGAAGAGACACGCTATATACGCTGTGGGCTTTGAATACCAGCAGATATATGGGTGAAGTGCTACCAAGCCATGCTTCATGAAAGCTTTCATGCCTGGTCATTTAGTATTTGTGAATACTGAGCACCCACACAATAGGCCATCATGTATAAGGTGGTAGGTGTGGTTAATGGGATTTAACGTCTCCAAACAACTAAGGCTACGAGAGATGCTGTAGTGAAGGCATGCAGATAATTTCAACCATCGTGGGTTGAAACACAGTACCAGAGGTGTAGCCAGAAATTTTTGGGGGGGGGTGTCACATCGACCCGACGGGGGGGAGGGACAGGCATCAGCTTTCACCTGTGACGTTACTATCGGCAGTAGTTTAAACAGATGGCGTACATATATATCAAGTTCTGAGCTTTTTCCTCTCCCCATGCGTATGGTTCTGAAGAGAGCAAGTAAAAGTACTGTAAGAATGATTGATTGAAATGTGGGGTATAACGTCCCAAAACCACCATATGATTATGAGAGACGATGTAGTGGAGGGTTCCGGAAATGTAGACCACCTGGGGTTCTTTAACGTGCACCCCAAATCTGAGCACATGGGCCTACAGCATTTTTGCCTCCATTGAAAATGCAGCCACTGCAGCCGGGATTCGATCCCGAGACCTGTGAGTCAGCATCAGAGTACCTTCGCTACTAGACCACGAAGGCGGGGCAGTACTGTAAGAAGTAATCTAAATACAGTAAACGAGAGGTACAGTGACCATTTGGAGCAATGGCCTCTCGTCGCACCATTGAATGGACTAGTCTTAGAAAATGCGTTATTGCGATGATGCGCCCCATCGGAGAAAACATCGTTAATCACTAATTTCTATTAAGCGTAGATGGCCTAGTCGTCGTCGGGGCAAAGTGCGTTTCACAAATCAAGGAGGGTCTCGCTTACAAGGACTGAGAGGTATACGTAGCATATTTTTGTGCAGTCATAACTACATTTTGGTGTTGCTTACTTTGCTGAGTGAATTTCTTACCGCCATGTCTGTGACTTCATGCCTATGGGAATGATTTTATGTTAATCTCTGTATGTCAAGCAGCCCTGACCCAGTGGTAGCTTTCAGTAAACATTTTTTCGCAATAAGAAATTTTTTTGTAAGATATGCTGCACGTTGGCAACACAATTTTGCACATGTTATTTTCGGGCAGACTTTAGTTGCACTGCGACTTTTGATAGCAATGAAGTACTCCAACCATAGAGGTTTTATTGAGCTATCTGCGAGGGCAAGGTAATCAGTGATGAGAAATGTTCACTTCGTCTCAATCAAAAGTGCATGTGCGACTGAACTATACCTACTCACATAAAACTAGCTTGGTCACTGCGTATATGGGGTAAAGCATTTGAATACGTGCAGAAAACTCGGAATGATATCATTTTTTTTTTTGTAATTTTCGTCACTCGAATTCTTGAAACGATAGCATTGTGGCAAGGTGTCTTCCGTTGTTTGCAAGCATGCAGCTCACTTTTCCCTTTCCGTCAACAGATTCAAAACTTTACAGCATATTTCACTGCGCAGCTTATGTGCGTTCATGTTTCCAGCACTGACACCGGTGTGAACAGGAACACCCTAAAACCACCCAAAATTTTCAGTGATCAGTTCACCAGTGATGGAGAAATCAACTCCGCAATTGTTCAGGGCATAGTGCACCATAATCCATTTCTCAGAACGTGTGAACTCCGATGAGAACTGCTAGCACATGCAACACAAGTTTACGTATATGCTCTACTGTGCACCGTCCATGTCTGCTGGTTGTCTGTTTCGGGCATTCCGATGCGAGTCACTGGAATTTCACTGCTGCCATCAACTCCTTCGCATTCATTCACGTTTGTGGTATTTCATTATGACACGACGGAAACTATGAGCCTTTTGTATGGGTGCAATCACAAACGTGAGACATCTCGCGCGCAGAGTAAGATTCTTGGCGAGGGCAACCTTACTGGCACCTGAAGGGAAGCGAAGGAAATGTATACCCTCAAATCTTTCCACCAGGCAAGAAACGCACGCTAGTGTTTAAGGCGGCACTTTACCAGCCGACATGTATCGTCGCTAAAGTTCTCGTTTCTCGCACTCAGGGTCACTGCCCAAACATTGCTGAGCTCGTTGCTTCCTATGAATCACCCCCTTGAAATATGCTGCCTACACGTATTGCTAAGTAGTTCATGTCTTGGGTAGATCAGCGCCTTTCTATGACACTAGATGGTCGCGCCGAAATGCCATACTGTACAATACTTGATGATTATTTCTCGAAAGGCGACGCTGCTCCCAGTGCACACTTGACAACTGGCGAAAATGAGGATGCCGCTTGTCAGGCAGCTTCATCGAAGTAACGTACCAGTTGCTAGCTTTGAAGAGCACTTCAGGCTTTCAGTATTTCTGGCCTTTTCTGGACTATTTAATGGACTAGTCAAAACAGTGCTTTAAGGCATCGGCCCACCTTGAAGATTCTTTCTTCGCTTCTCACACAGAATATTCTCGAATCTGTCACTCTTCCCACTGCCGAAAAGTTTGCTGCCGTGCACTGGAACATCATCTATACTTTGGCATTGCAAGGGGAGTTAGCAGTATGGGCTGCGAAATAAAAGCGAGAAACACTGAGCGGGTATGTGATGCAAGCAGTTGGCAATCGCCCAGAGTATTCTGTGAGAATGTGAGAATTCTGCCGGTGAACACAGCTGAAGCAGAACGCTTTTTTTCATCGCTGAGGCGCCTAAAGTTGTACCTGAGGGCTACAACAACAAATGAAAGATTGTTTGGCATCGCTCTCTGAACATTCACCAAGAAATAAGAGTCCACCGGGAAGACATTCTCTCTGTTCTTTACAGGAACCTTGACGGCTTCAGCTGAATGTGTGTGTAATATCAACCATAGGTGCCTGCTAAAAATCAAGAAAGAAAGTCAACTAAAGTTATTCGTGGATTGAAATTTTCTGGAAAACAGAAGTAAAAACATAATTGTTGATGGTCAAGTGATGGAGTTTAACAACCCAAAACCACGATATGACTAAGAGACGCTGTAGTCGGGCGCTCTGGAAGCTTTACCACTTTGGTTCTTTAACATGCATCTAAACCAAAGCGCACGAGCTTCAAGCATTTTCGCCTACAACGAAAATACAACAGGGATGCAGTCCCGATACCTGCGGGTCAGCAATGGAGCACCATAACCACTGGACCACCCTGGCGGGTAGTAAAAAAGGCGGTTTTGGTTAAGTCAGAATGCGCAACTTTTCGTCCAGCTGTAAGGAAGCAAGTTCAACTGTATAAGACATGTTGCTGGAAATCACTCTGACAACATGACAAAGTGATCCAGTTTCTCTCTTTGCCTACTTATTGCTTTCAGTGGCTCCTTTCACTTGCTGACGCGGTTAGCAGATACAAAATGGTCAACTAGCCAAACTTGCATGTGGCAATTCTCGCAAATTTTGGGTAACATATGGGGCATTTATTATGACATGTAACATGCAAGATAATCTTTGTGTCAAATGAAAAAAGATAATCAACAGCATTTCGCTATGTGATGTGTCTGTTTGCTGTGCGAGACATTGCTTGCACAGGGTCTCTTTCATTTATTGTACAGAAATATAGTTGCTATGTATATTGCTTGTAATTTTACGCGATAACATGCCTACTCATGTTTCTTCATTCTGTGCATTTCTTGTCCAGCGTCATGTCGCTAGTTGCAGAAATTGTTCAGCGTGCTCTTTTAGTCATGTCAATGTAAAGCAAACGAACAGATGAAGCAAATCAATATATATCATTTGTCGTATATTTTTTCAGTTTAATGTTCTTTATTCATGCGCTATTTGCCACAGTGCTGAACAATAAAGCTTGTGCTCACTACAGCTGCCCACACTGTATTTTCCATTACGCTGCTTTAGGGTTATGACCACCATCTTGTTATTTATGAGCCTAAGTTACATGAGTCTGTTTTAAGGCTCTGGTTAGCCTGCACGTTTATATACATACATATATATATATATATATATCATACCGACGAACTATCTGCTCATAGAAAGAGTCCCAGAACAGATGTAGATGTAGGGTTGGTTTCACATGCGTCCCTTTCATCTCCTAGTGGGCGCGTGCCTGGTCCTTGCAACGGGCGTTTTGTTGATTCGCCACACATCACTTGCATGTTATACACGCGCGAGTGACTTTGGCAGAATGCCTATGTGTTGTGTACCACTCGGTGATTGTCAGAGCAGCTTTGCTGCACTATGTGTATGCGTGTATCTGAAATCGCCTGCCTTTATGTTTCTCTCTCTCACACTCCCTCTTCCCTTTCCACTTCGTTGAAGTTATGAAATCGTCAGCAGCAAGGTATAGCCACCCTTCCTACATTCATTTTTCGATATATATATATATATATATATATATATATATATATATATATATATATATATATATACTGTACACTCGCATACAAGCCAAGTTAGGTGTACAAACCGAATATTCTGTCACACGTGTGTGCATGAGTGTTAAGATGTTAGCAGACCGTATGAAGGTTCAATAGTGTCACAAAACGAGCGCTCAAAAAAGGGCGCGCCGCCAAATTCTCGCGACGAAGCGCCGGAGAGACGCCTCAAAGTCAACAACAAAGAAGAAAACAAGCATCAAAAGACTCCCTGGGTGCCCCGTCCCTCTCCCCTTGGAAGCGTAGGTTCACCGACGAACCTCCTCACATCGGCGGCCGAGCAAGCCCTAGAAGGTTCTCGAGGGAAAGGGGCGTGGCGATGCAGAGTTGCATCATCTGTCGCGGACGGCCCTTGAACCGTCTCGCGCTTTCCCCAACCTTGGCTGCGTAGCGCTCCAACAAAACGATGAGAATTATCTGGAATCTAGCGCGGAAGGTATTTAACCAAGCAGCAGAGATGGGAGATCAGGAGAAGAAGGAATTTCACGCCAGTGTACGTAGGGTGTTTCCGCCGTGTAGTCGGCGAAGCCTTTTGTCTTCAGTGACAAAGGAGGAGAAGAGGAGGATTTCCACCTGAGGGGTGAAGAATCGTGCTTCAGGCAGGAGTGTGTGTCTACCGCCAGCGAGCGAAGACGCGCGGCAACAGCTGCGCGTGGGAAGCCGACGTGTTACCGGCGAAAAAGTTTGGTGCTTGGAGAGCGGCCAATTGAAGACGCGAGGTTTCCTGGAAGAGAAACTTCGAGGGCAGCGGAACGACAACAGCGCTGGACTTTGAGTGAGTGATTCTCGGAAGAGCATCATTCAGGCTTTTGTTCCAAGGACTTTGGACTGAATAGGTTTTCGAACTCTTTAGTCTTTAAGTGTCTTGGTTGTTTGATGCATGCGACTGCATTGTAGTGCGTATTGTTGTTGTGTCTGTCGTTTCGAGTGTGGCTGATTGTACTGTGTAGTACGTTGTTTGATTGGTGACATATTGTATTCAACTATTGCCGAGTGTGCATACTTGTGTATCGATTTGATCTGCCGTAATTGAGAATATAATTTTGTTTTGTTTATCGACTCTCGGCTCTGACTTGTTCTTTGAGCCACAGCCGGCGTCCGCTGGCGTGCCAAATAGGACCACTTCTAAATTGTCCACGCATTTGTGGTGCAGTTCGGGGGGCCGATATTTCGGTCCTTGGAATTAGCCCGGCGATTGCCTCCCTAATTAACGGGACCCGTGACAAATAGCAATGTTATTTTCTGGCTTGAGTATATCTTAGAATACGTAGCAAGGGTCACACTGTAATATGCTCGAACGTGGCCTATCAGACCTTGCAACTGTGTCTGAATTTTTCCATTAAAACAAACCTCTGCCTATTGAGATTATCGTAGTGATCAACTCCGGCGAGATCTGTTCCGGCGGGTACAAGTATAACCACTGCTTAAGCATTAATCCTGTTGCCAAGCCAACTTAAAACATTCGCGGCCGAGATTCCTGCCCAAAATCTCACAGAGTCGAGGAATGGTATTGTGATAGTAGCAGAACTTAGTTTTTTAATCACGTCAGTGCGAAGCGACAAAAGAAAATTTAGTTGGATAAGTGGCAGAGAAAGGGCGGAGGGGGGTGTTGGACGAAAAATTTCAGGGGAGGGGTTTGAACCCGCCTTGGCTACGCCACTGCACAGTACACAGGCCACTAGCTTTTTACACCTATAAAAACGAAACTGTTGTAGCTGGGATCAAATACACGCCTTTCAGGTCAGCAGCTGTGCACCATAACCACTGAGCCACAGCAGCAGTTCACATCGCAGTTGGTGAGCATAACAGTAGCGTAAACTTCTTTTTCTTGAGTGCCAAATACTGTAGTAGCGGCATAACAGGGCTAAACTCATGTATAGGGCGACAGTGAAAGAAAACATGCATAACAAAGCACTTCACTATGCGCACTCTTTTACATTGTAGTTATAATTCTGTCACAATGCTAAACCACCACACCCAGCAACCTACATTATTATAGTACCAATAACTAGTTGGAACTGCATGGAGTGGTTCAGAGAAAATATGTAAGGTCAGCAACTGAGAATAAACAAAGCTCCATAGAAACACAGCAGCATATTTACCCAGGATACATGTAGCTGAATATGATTCCTATACACATGAGGAGGCTGACGATGGCATAAACTACTACTCTTTCAGTGTTTGTGGATTATACATTGTTTTAAAAACAAAAACAGAACATTTCTTGCAAAAAGAGCTGCAATTGTAAACCAAAAATAAGGAAGTGAAATTGCAATTTTGTAAGCTTGCTGTATTCACACATCAATCAGAGTACTAAAGGTGTTCTCCGAATCTTAGCTAGGACACCTACAAGAAAAACATCTTCCAGGCAAGAGCCACAGTCAACAGGAGTTTTCTTCTCAAGCATCACTTGCAAGATAAATAAAACCCCAACAATCTCCGAGCATCATGCCTAATAATAATGATGCCGAGCATCATGCATACTTTTTTACATGAAAGAGCTGTTTTGGGATCTCAAGGTGATGTTCTCATATGTCTTTCACTTTTGCACAATTTTTTAGCACATCAGACAACTTATTTCAGCAATAGTGACTACGATATTTACTCCGTTCTAACACACCCTTGATTTTTACAAGTGTGCCAACTTTTATAGATCGAACTATTTTTTGGATTACTTAGTTTCAAAATGAAACTACTTTATCATGGAAGTGGTAGCTACTAAGTGCCATGGTAACACTAAACGTAATTCAAAATGGTTACCAATTAGACGGCACTGAAATTTGCATTACAAACTGAAGAAGAGTAGGTTTTATTGCTTTCAGACAAGAGATGAGCAGTAAATTTCTGTCGCAAATATCACATGGAGAAACAAACCTAAGCAGTGGAGACAAATGACACAGCATTACCACCAACCACCGCATCTAAGCCTCTTGATGCGCCAAGGGTGTCCCTTAGCATATTGTATCTCATAGAGTTAGTTGGTGTATGCAGAAGAACACAGACAGAAATTTGTCTAGGCCAAGTGCCCTTACTGAATAAATTACAAAAACAAAAGTGGAGAGACAGATCCAAGGAAAGTTAAAAATTAAAACAGGAGCTGAAAAAAATGGTTTAGGAAAGAAATAATGCCCTTGACAGCATATATTTTTATATCGAAGTACTGAGGTAGGGCTAGTCACTGAATTCCGTATAAAAGAGAACCAGCGAGTGATGCATCTGTAGCTATCGCAGAGATGGCTGTAAAGAGCTGCCGACTCAACATGTGCTTTGCAGGAAACCCCGAGAAAAGCTGCCTCTGCGTTAAAATGGAAACACCAGATTTTTCTATAATGTAGCAAGGTCAGTGATTTCTTGTCAAGCTTTGGGGCTGCTATAGGTAAGATTTAGACCACTATAGTACAAGGATGTAGAATAATGAATAAACTCTATCGCTCACTGGAACTACAGTATCATAAATCGGGAACTTTGAGATTAAAAGCCGAGATCCAAGATTGGGATGCCGCATGTGAGATGTAGATACAGTGTAATAAGTTGCAATTTTAGTTCTGTATTTGGCTCAGGACTTTTGAATATTTTTTTTAAACACTGAATTTAATTCTCATGCAGCTCTATCTAAAGCACAAACTATTCGCACAGGTGTTTCCTCATGTTATTAACTCACCTGGTCAGAAATCCTATCATAATAGCTTTCCACAGTAACAACCTTAGTGCTCGGCATCCTGGCAACAATCTTGGCAAATGTTTCACATTTCTTCCAGTCTTTCTCAGACACCACACCACCAGTGTCATCCACTGAAAACCAAGGCATACAGCAGATCTACATTCAAATCCAGATACCATACAATATCGAAAGGGAGTAGAAAATATTTGCATGTGTCTTAATTTCACATTTAAACACCTACTGCTCAACAGTTAACTTTCCTGTCACGAGACCTAAATAATCTACTGACATGATACACAGCTTGTCAACATGCTGCCAAACAATGACTGTATAATTTGACAACTAATGCAATGCAAGTGAAGGCTGCGTCAAGAAGTTCATGCTCCCGGTGAATCTATATGCGAACTTTAGAGCAGAAATTACCAAGAACATTAACAATTTACACAATGAATATTATAACTGATGCTTCCAGAAATAAAAAATTAAAACATAAACACACCGAAAATTAGCATACTTTCTGCTGTAAAACATGAAAAGTTTTCGCTTTTGCCCCCCTGGTTTCTTGTCATTAGTAAGATGCCACAGATCCCACATTAACAGATTCAAGACAAATAAGTTGTAGCAGTTTGAGTGGCAAAACATGAAACAGCATGTTTGCACTTGCCATGGCGTTTAAATTACACTCTAGCATTGAAGAGATCATTCACATAGCATTGGTGTGCATGTACCACTTATATAAACTTAGGACGCATGTGAAAGGTTTCATCATACCGGTGTACTACACACATAATCTGGAGCCGAACAATGAGGGTGTTTATAATGGCAACTACAACAAGATGGAAGTACAATGAAATCTCATAGATAGTTCTGTACAATACCTCTTTCCAGATGATATGTTTTTCTTTTCCTCGCAAATGTAATTCCCCACAGGAGCAATACGGTTATAGCAATCACATTTTCACCTAATATTGGATAATATGATTACAGAAGTGGGCTTCTACAGGCATTTCTAACAATCTACAGCTGTACACTCCAGAGGACTGGCTCGAACAACATTTCAACAACCCACAAACAACATGTTACACACCAGCATCTATGCAGATTTTGCAGTAACAGTGCTGATAAATTCCCATCAGAAGAGAGCACAGAGAGCGACATTTTGAAATGCCACCAAGTACACCCATTTTCATACTTCTTGGAGCATTGTCTAGGCTAATACAATTCAGAATGACATGCTTTATTAACCAGTTCTGCAAAGATCATATCAATGAGAATTCATTATAACTGATATTCCACATAAAGCCATGGTACTAGTACTACATATACCAAGAGCAATATGAAATTATTTATTGAAAGTTTTCATTTAAACAACTAAGGTAAACTACTTAGAAAGATAACTGAACGTGCCCCTGGTTACTCAGAAACAAGTCTACCTGTGCAAGAAGTGATTCTGGTCCGCCAGAGCAGCGAGAGTGCAACAAAAACCTTCTGAGAAACTGCATCTTATGAGCACACTGCACTGCCAACCTATATTAGCAAGAATATAGACAACCACCACTTTTGTACAACGCTGACTCCTTTTATCTAGCTATGGCTAGATTATTTAATTAATTTAAAATTTGTGCACCACGATTCTTTCCTCTAAAATGACACTTTTTTCTCACCGCTCCATGCATCGAATATGCCAAGAATAACTTGTGCGAGGCCTCCTTCGTGCAGCAGGCATTCTGTGAGGAGTTGCCCACAAACGCCTTTCAGCCAATGTGGAGTGTTTTTAGCACCTGAAACCTAGAGAATGTAAATGCCATCAGCATCACTTTCCAGTATAACCAAATTTGCTATGACAAAGGTCGTAAGTATCAACCATTTCTCAAAAAGTAGCAAAGGATAAATGGAGCAGGTACGTCAATATTTCATATGAGTGTGCAAATATTCAAAAATTTTGAATAACAAATCGCATAGTGCATGTTTAAACTACCAGAGTACTTTTCCAATAGTAAGTACAGACAGCGAAACCCCGACACTAACAAACCTTTGAACAGTAAGAGATCATCTTTTCTTATTTTAAATCTTGAATTACCAAGATGCATGCTACCAAGCTCGTAGGGAATATTGACGTTATATTGATCACTGGATAAAGACATCTTTGACATGTTGCCAATCCACTACCATCGCCATGAGATTGGTCATGGGACAGTGGGGATTGCAGCTCCATTTGGATACGGAAGTGCAGTTTTTGAACATGCTTATATGACTAACAACAGATGCAAATGTTAAGTTGATGTCAATTATTTTGCAGGTGGGATAATCAACATTGATGGCGTATTCGGTTGGCCACTCTGGTCCTCTGGCTCAGAGTCACCATATGCAGAGGCAGCTCGCAATCGGAGCACGAGAGGCAGTGTACCAACCGAATACATCGGCGATCTCAGAGCGCTTAGAGCAGAGCACCCGTAGCGCCACCATGTAAACAGCGCGGGAAGCTGCCAGTTAAACATTGCTGCCCCACGTCAACAAATGGTGCCGATCAGTTCAGTAGACATTACTGACATGTCTGACCTTTCTTATACTCTTTCTTTCTCTCTCTCTCTCTCTCTCTCATATGTCTGGGCATAGCGAAAGCCTTCTGAGCTTAGCACATAAATTTGGGGATCGTCCTCGTCTGAACTTCAAGGCAGGCTGTCTGCGAGCTGCTGTAACGACAGCATTAACGTTTCCTTCGCCTTCGCTGGCCACCTCATTATTAACATGGTGCATTTATGACTTTATAGATGTGAATTAGCCCCACACGTGCGCAAAAACACCATTAACAACGCACAGGCACGAACTATTACACCCCCGGCGATGCCCTCATCCGAAATGCACGCTCGGGCTCCTCACTTCACCTCGTTCACCTGCCGGCAGCCACGTGATTGGCGGGCTTGTGTCATGTGATTCGTCCTCTTGGTCAGATCGCGCCACGCTCCCACTTTGAAGTCAGAGCGGTTGGCAACGCTCTGAGTCAGAGGCCGACGCTCTGAAAGAGCCAACCGAAGGTAGTCCGAGCGCTCAAATACTACCAACTGAAGGCGCAGCAACTTTTCAGAGCGTTTTAAAACGCCCAACCGAATATGCCATGATATTTTTTTGCCTTTGGTACTAAGGCCCATGATATTGATACAAGTGATCATTAACATTAACGAATTCACCATAAAGGCGACGAAGATGACGATTCAACAAAAGCTCGTGTTGTTGTTGCCACTCCACCATCTTGGTTCAAAGATACTGTGTACTCCATGTACAATCTGTAAATATATTTCTACCCTCTGCCTACTCTCACCCCATGACATTTTGGTGGTGGTGCGGGGTAACAAGAAGGAGCTACGCAGCGGCCAACGCTTTGTTTCTTCCACGATGGCACAAGGGGGTCCGGCTTCAGCTTCCGCAGCGGCCACCGCAACGACGACAGTTGTTCTGCCCCAGCTGAAAGACACTGGCACGTTCTGCGGGACCGACAATGTCGACATTGAAGAATGATTGCCGCTGTACGAGTGAACAAGCAGGAATTATCGCTGGGACAAAAGGCTCATGCTGGCGAACATCCTATTTCACCTGAAGGGGACAGCCAAAGTGTGGTTTGAAAACCACAAAGCGGAAATTGGCAGCTGGAATGCGTGCACTGTTCAGCAAATCGACTGGCAGGAAGACAGCGGCCAAGAAGGAGCTAGCATCTCGCGCTCCAACGTCATCAGGAGTCGTACCAGTCTTACAGGATGTGCTCGCCCTTTGCCGCAAAGCAGACGACGACATGGAGGAGTCCGAGAAGGTAGCGAACATATTAAAAGGCATTGCCGATGACGCGTTCAATTTGCTAATTTGCAAGGAATGTGACACAGTAGATGCCATTATCCTAGAGTGCCAGCGTTTTGAGGCCGCCAAGAGCCGACGTATTTCCCATCAGTTCGCTCGACTTCCCAACACCGCAGCAACATGGTCGTGTGAAGACATGCCTGTACCACAGGCACCCCTGACTGCAGAGCACGTCACGAAGATCATCCGTCGAGAACTTGAAGCTATGTCTCCCGCTTCAACTTTCTCTCGTGCCTGTGAGCCCAGCTCCCAAATGGTGCCTTTAGTGCATGCCATTGTCCGCCAAGAGCTTTCGAACATTGGCCTGGAATCTGTATGCAACCGCCACCCCCTCCCGACCGACTGGCCGTCGTCCGCCAGTTTCCTACGCCCAAGGCCAGAGGCTCCCAGTGCGCTCTCGCAATCCCGCAGAGTGGAGGACTGCTGATGACTGGCCCATTCGCCTTTACTGTCATCGTGTTGGTCACATGGCACGCTATTGCAATAGCAGGTAGTATTGGTGTCAGCCTTCCTATGGCTACAACCGCCACGCAGAGGCAGATTATGGCCACTTCGGAACTCGCCACGAGTCGCCTCGGCCAGCCGGTGGTGACGGTTCGTCGACGGTGCGTTGTCGGTAACCATCCCCTCCCGGCCACCAGACCCGCTCAGCGCTGTCTCTTCGCCCATCGTCGCGCTCACCCTAATTTCGCTGTCCTCCTTCGCCGACTGCACATCTGGCTCGGGAAAACTAGGCGATGCAGCTCCCAGAGGTGATGCTGCATCGACGATTCGCCAGCCAACATCTCTGATTATGCTGACACGACAGCAACCTCATAGACGTTAAAGTGGACGATGCACTTATTTATTTATTTATTTCGTAATACCCTCCGGGCCAAAGGCAATATGGAGGGGGGTGAAACACGAGTTTTTAGTCATACAATGTTAGCTAATAATAAAGAATAAATAAAAAGAAATGAAAAGAACAAAATATAAGCGTTGTGTACAAATAGAACAAGTAAGTAAGTGTGGGTGTTTATACAATGCTAGTTAGCGCAGAAAAAAACAAGTGCTGATCGATCAAGATGGCTACAGATCCGGGAAGGTGGTTCCATTCTACTGATGTTCTGGGAATAAATGAATCGCTGCATGTTTTGGCTAGACATGACATAACGCCAACTTTATTAGGATGATCAATTCTAGATGATACGTAAAAAGGCTGAAATATAATCGCCTCGTGAAGAGTTCGAATATTATGATAAATTTTCTGAAATAGACAGAGGCAGAAGAGCATACGACGAGAGGCGAGAGACAGCAGATCGAGTGAATTTTTTATGGCAGAAATGCTTGAGTGACGACTGTAGTTGTGAAGAATGAAACGAACTTAATTGTTTTTGGATTAGCTCAAGAGCATTGATTAAATTAATTGAACTCGGATCCCCTACTGCAGCGGCATATTCTATCTTGCTACGAATCAGCGTCTTGTACATTAGTAGTTTAAGTGAAACAGGTGCCGAAGAGAAGTTGCGGACGAATGTACCCAAGCATGCGGTTCGCATTATTAATAATGGAGCAGGATATGGAGCGACCAGCTTAAACAAGTGGTGATGTGTACGCCTAGATAACTTGTTGCCCCTGTAGACACAGGGTCCCACATTTCGGTGATGAACTCAGAGCTTCGCCGCCACCTTAAAAAGGTTTTAACACCGTCCACAGTGCCGTTCATCCAAGTCGCCGACGGTGGAACTTTTCTTATGCTTGGGATGTGCTCCGCACGTGTTAGTGTTGCTGATCGCTCCACAACTGTGCCTTTTGCCATGCTTGAGAAGTGCTCTCATGAACTCATCCTGGGCATGGACTTTCTTGCCGCGCACTCTGCCTTAATTGACTGTGGAATAGGCCTGCTTCAGCTTGACCTACCTTATTGTTATGACACTCCAACTACACCTCAACCATGTTTGTGTTCTGTCGAGTACGTTCGCCTAGCGCCCCAAGCCATTACCTATGTAACCATGAGGTCTTTCCCTCCGGCACCCGACGGTGATTATGTGCTGGAACCTATTTTGGATGTGTTATAGGACAGAACTGTTGCCCTTCCTCATACTCTGTTGACGATTACGAATAATGTGGCATCGCTACCGATACAAAACTTCAGCTGGTGCGCTCAAGTTGTTCCAGGTGGCATGACTCTAGCCAATGTCTCTTCCATCAGTGAACATTCTGTTTCTGCATTCATTACAGATGCCCCTTTGCCCGCTACTGAATCCCCTTCACATAGCTCCACTAATGCCGACTTTGACAAGATGATCGCACCAGACCTCATTCTAGCACAGGCAGCCAATCTCCGGCATATCTTGGCATCCTTCAGGGACATCTTTGACTTGGGCAACAGCCCTTAACGTCAGACGTCAGTTGTTACTCACAGGATCAACACTGGAGACGCCAGCACAATCTGACGATGTTCTTATCGCGTTTCACATGCGGAGCGACAAGTCATCCAACGTGAAGTTGATAAAGTGCTCCCAAAAGACGTCATTGAACCATCTTGCAGTCCATCGGCCTCACCAGTCGTTCTAGTAAAAAAAAAAGGATGGCAACTGGCGCTTCTGCGTCGACTACCGTCACTTAAACAAGGTATGCGCAATAACGTCTACCCACTGCCACGGATTGACGATGATCTCGACTGCCTGCACGGGTCTGCCTACTTCTCTTCTATCGACCTGCGTTCAGGATACTGGCAGATTTCCGTCGAATTACACCGTGAAAAGACTGCAATTGTTACACCGCATGGACTTTTCCAGTTTAAAGTAATGCCCTTTGGCTTATGCAACGCTCCCGCTACATTTGAGAGAATGATGGACTCCCTGCTACGGGGTTAGAAATGGTCAGCGTGCCTCTGTTATCTCGATGACGCCATTGTATTCTCGCCGTCATTCGAAAGTCACCTTAGCCGTCAGTCA